AAAACATTATCCCTCATCTCACATCTGGGACAACACCCCATCCCATTCACAGGACACAGGTGCTTAATATACTATGATTGCATCCTTTATTGAAGGCATTGAAAAGGAAAATGTTAAGTTCCCAAATTCCTCCTCCTTATTCTTATTATATCCAAAGAATACCTAAAATCATGGAAGGGGGAAAAGAGAGGAGGGCTGTATATTTGGGACTCCAGCTGCAGGCCACAGTGTATAAATAAAAGAAGGGAGGGCAATCACGAAGGAGGAGCTTTCCAACCTCAGTCTTACTGATACCCCCAAATTCATTAGAGCCAAGTCTTGGGTCCCTGGGACCTTTTCTCTTCCTCATGCACCAGTCCTTGTCTCTGATCCAGGGTCTGGGTCACTGCTGACCTTCTTCCTCCAGTCCTAGTTACAGGCAGATGAGATACATGGGCTGCAGCTGCTTGTGGCCAGCACTGCCCTGCAATCTCAGTCCTCAAAATCAACTGCCAGTCACTCATATGGTGAACAAGAAGCCTTTATCCAATTGCTGTAACTGTCTGTTCCCCACTGGAATCATGGCAACCAAAAAGTCCCCCTGAATGGTAAACTGAAGGAAAGTGAACCCCAGAACTGCATGTCAGTATGCGTTATTTCACCATTTTCCCTGTCCTCTTAGTCAACTTTATGTCTGTTAACCATTTGCTCCCAAGAATGCCAGTGCTGAAGGGGGAGAAGGTCCTTTATGCTTTATCTAGATATTTCTTTTTCCTTTCTTCTGTGTTCTGTTGCCATCTCTCTATCTCCTGAGATAGAGATATGTAAATAGTAATTTGAAAAAGATAAGAATATTTGGCATGGCTACAAATTACAGCAGACAGTGAATGATACTAACAAGAATATCACCATTCCATCAATTACTGAAATGCAATAGTTTGTATGTGCTGTGGAAGTAGGCCATCTCTAGCAAGGTCCTTTATTCCTGGAGAGGTGGCACAGTGGATAAAGTGCCAGGTCTGAAGTCAAGAAGACCTGAGTTCAAATCTGGCCTCAGATACTTATTAGCTGTGTGACCCTAGGCAAGTCACTTTAACTGCTGTTTGCCTCAGTTTCCCTAACTGTAAAATACTAATACTACCTCCCTCCCAGGATGGTTGTGAGGATCCAAATGGGAAATTTGTTAAGCACTTAGCGCAGTCCCTGGTACATAATAGGCCCTTAAATACTTGATCTTTTCCCAGCAGGTCTTCAGTGAAGCAATGAGAAACTTTAACAGATCCATTCATGATTTTCAGTTGGTCCAAAAGCCGCAGAGAGCTTGTGAGATCCTCCAGCAGCTGAAACAGCTTGCTTCCCAGTTTTCCAAGACATTCCAGGTATGAGAATGAATTGAAGGGGTCAAGGGATAGATTAAAGTCAAAAAGGAAGGAAAAGAAAGGGAGAGAGGAGAATAAGAAAAAGTGAGAGTCGGCCTTTCAGTCAAAGCTTTGTTTCTCTCCCAGAGCCTCACACAGTGCTCTGCAGACAGGGAGCGCCTTTAAAAAAAGCAGTTGGTTTTTCTTGTTGTTGTTAATTGGTGAAGGGAAAGACCAATTAAACAAATTTCAAAGGGCAGGAAAAGAAAGTGGGGATTGTGGAAAGAGGACTGCGTGGAGGAAAGCACAGATCCATGGAATTACTGAAGGGAAATATTGAAGAATAAGGCCATCTTTAGTAGTCAAAGCTGAATTTAGCTCTATCAAAGCATTTCCTCTACTTGATCTAGATTAAATTTGCCAATGAGTAGCCATTACTTCATTTTTAAAATGTTTGTCTATTTTAAAGTAAATTTTATTTTATTTTTTTCAATGAATGAAAATCTGCCTTCGCTTCCATCTCCCTCCCATTTCAACCCCCTCCCACACATATATACACTGAGAACAAAAGAAAAATAGAACAACTCCTGTTGCAAATATATTTCTTCAAGCAAAACAAATGGCTTCATTAGCCATATATAAGTCTCCATCTGCACCATATCTTCTAATGAGCCCTATGGAATCATGATTTGTCATTATGTTAACTGGACTTCAAAGTCTCTCAAAATTGTTTGTTTTTACAATAATGTCTAATTATTTATCTAATCATCAGTAATTTAGAGCATTTTTACTACGACTATTTATACTTGTATTTCTTCCTCTGAAAACTATTCCTATCCTTTGACCATTTATGGGAATGGCTTTTATTCTAATAAATTTGAACCAGTTCTCTGTGTTTCTTATAAATGAGACCTTTATCAGAGAAAATTGCTATAAAGATTTTTCCCATTTACCTGCTTATCTTCTAATTTTATCTGAATTGGTTTTGTTTGCACAAAAACTTTTTAATTTTATGTGATAAAAAATGTCCATTTTATCTCCTCTGTTTCTCTCTATCTGTTTTTTGGTCATGAAGTCTTTCCCTATCTATAAATCTGACAGAAAATTTCTTCTTGCTCCTCTGGTTTGTTGATGGTGTCACCCTTTATGTCTAAGTCATGTCTCATTTGGAGCTTATGTTGGTATATGATATGAGATGCTGACTTACATTTAGTTTCTCTCTGAGTACTCTCCAGTGTTCCCAATAGATTCTGTCAAATAGTGAGTTCTTACCCCAATAACTGGGATCTCTGTGTTTATCAAATACTAGACTACTGACCTCATCTGTTTTTGTATATTGTATACAATATAAAGAATATATATTTACAGTATATCTGTTCCACTGATCAACCTATTTCTTAATCAATACCAAACTGATCTGTAATTATGTAGAATAGTTTAGTATCTGGTACTGCTAGGTCCCCTTCATTCTCATTTTGAAAACCTTAAGTCACTATATATAAATATTAGCTGTTATTATTAGTGGGATTGAGACCATGAGTGGTTGCTGCACTTCCAGCTTGAGTGAGATGGGGAAATCCAGTGAAGGAAGAAAGGGAGGAAGAGAGAGAGACAGAGAGAGACAGAGAGAGAGAGAAGGGAGGGAGGAAGGGAAGGAGGGAGGGAAGAAAGGAAGGAAGGAAAGAAGGAAAGAAGGAAGGAATAGTTGCTTAGGGCAGTAAAATTAAATGATTTACCCAGGACCAATATGGAGCAGAGATAGGATCTGAACTTAGGTCTTCCTGTTTTAAGAAGGGCCAGGCCAACTCTAGACAATAAGAGAACAAAAGCAGCATAGTGGGCCTCTAGGTGGCGCTGCAGCGGATAGCGTGCCAGGGCTCGAGTCAGGATGACCTGAGCTAAAATCCAGCCTCAGACGCTTATTAGCAGTGGGCAAATCACTTACCCTCAGTTTCCTCATCTGTAAAATGGGGGTAATAATAGCACCTACCTCCCAGGATCATTGTGAGGAAAAAATGTCATGATATTTGTAAAGAGCCTGGCAAATCATAGGCACCATACAAATGTTTACTATTGTTACTAGCGCTTCCCACATTATAGGTGCTCAACAATTATTTGTCTATTTTATTTTAAATCAACTCTTCTGCAGGAGAGCCCCATTAAAAAAAAAAAAGAATAGGAAGGAGAAAAGAGAGTGTATTCTGTTTCTTTTAGTCTACTACCTAATCTTGTGTAAGCCTTTCATGATTTCTTTTAGCCTAGGAACCCATTTATTAGCCTATCATTTCTTTTTGTTTAATTAAATTAATTTTTTTCAGTTAACAAATGTCCATTTTCTCCCTCCCCCTTCCCTGTAAAAAACAAAACCAATGTGCATGTAGCCCACTCGTTTTCAGGACTATTCATTTCCTCTGCCAACTTAATCAGCAGTGATGATTTTCTCTGGATTCCTTTCTTTTTGTTACATTCAACATTCTATCCTCCTAGCCCACAAAGGTTGACCAGTGTTTTTGAACAAAATACAATGAGAACTCTTCCCTATTAAAGAATATTAAATAGGATTTTTATATTCCTACCAAATTATAACATTATTTATGTCCATTAGAATATCAGGGGATTTTTGTCCCAAGAAATCTACATGGAATTTCTAAAGTATCTTGTATTCCCCAGAGGAAAAGCACTAAATACATAAAAGACAGTTACAAAAAAGTTTAGGGATGGGGTGTGTGTGTGTGTGTGTGTGTACTTATTTGTTTTTTAATATTTCCAGACCAATGGAAGCAATCGCCTTCTCCACCCAAGTGAGCAGTTGCTGAAGGTCCAGTCTCGGAGTGGGAATCATTTCAGTCTGAAGACTCCTGTAACCCTCTGCCTCAGCAACTATGATGTGGAAGGTTCTAGAATGAATATAGTTAGGGCCCAACAGGATTCAATGCAGGTGGGAGCAGAATCTTTAGCTACTGGGTCTAAATGCCAATTCCAATCACCTCACCTCACTACCAATCATATTTTTCTTCTGGGATTTTAGAATAATCCTACCATGAGAATCACTGCTATAGAAACTATACACTGAAATCTTCCAGGGTCCCACACCCCAACCATTCATCAATACTTTTCCTCTCAATACCACTGAAATCACATACCCAGGACGTGAGCAGTTTAGAGAACACGTAAACATGGTTCTTTTTAGAAAATTAAATATTCAGGGCAGCTAGGTGGCACAGTGGATAGAGCACCAAGCCTGGAGTCAGGAGAATCTGAGTTCAAATCCGCCTCAGACCAAACACTTGACGCTTACTAGCTGTGTGACCCTGGGCAAGTCACTTAACCCCAATTGCCTAAAAATCAAAAAAAGAAAAAAGAAAATTAAATATTCTCCCTCATGATATTTCTAGGGTCAGCCTTGGCTATAGGACAAAGAGACATTTCCTTGATTATCTCTCTTACTTGGAATTGGTTGATCTATCTTTAGTCAGCGTGTGTGGGGGGGTGTTTTCTATGGGGTCTCATGAGTAAAATGTACTTTTTCTGCTCATCTTTGCTCGAGACTTGGTTTTCCCTCTGTCTACACTGTCACTTCAATCATGCACTATTGGGGGTGAGGTAGGGAGGAGGATGGGACGCAAGGCAGATGGCATTTTCCTTCAAATGCAGATAGAAGACATGTTAGAAACATCTTTGATAGCCCTGAGGAAGATACAGGAGGTCCTCATTCTGGCCAGCCAACCTTCAGAGTCTTCAATGATAGTGACCTCTTCTCTTACTACTCTGATGCTACGAAGGCAATGGAGAAGGGAAGAAGGGGAAAGCTCGCTTTAGAGCTCTGGTTTTCAGAAGAAAAACATAATTCCATCTTCTTTTTCTTCCCCTCAGCCAAAACACATCAGCTTTATCTTCAAGTTCTTATACTCTTGGCTACCCAGCGTCTATGCGTTTAAGCCTCCCATCGGCCTCTGCTTTGGACAATCTCCTGAGTAAACACCAAAGTGTAAACATTCATGTGAGTGTGAAGTTGTTCCTGAACAGAAGCGTCTGTTCTGATGGCCAAGGGTAAAGTACTATGCAAACGTGACATTATTGTTACAAATATAAGCTGGCCAAAGCAGTAGGTGACATTATGCACGCAAACCCTGTGGAAATGTACAGGAGCAGAGATGCTTATATGCTGCAAGCTTCTGAATTTAACTGAAGGCCTGTGCTCAGTGAGAAGCAGGCTGGCAAAAGGAGATGGATAGTGGGCCAGCCTCAGAGTTATGAAGACCTGAGTTCAAATCCTGCCTCAGACACACTGGCTATGTAACTTTGGGGCATCGTGCTTGACCTCTCAGTGCTTGCCAATGTGTATTGGTAGAATGAGTCGCCCATATCATAGGAATTTCCCATATCAGTGAAATTACATGTCAGGTTCCTATACCTATTTGTATTCTGCATGATCTGAATGATTTCAACTTGTTACCCTCTAAAATCTCTTTCAGGAAGACTCATTTTCCTGAGTCCAAATCTGGCCTCAGACACTTACTAACTGTATGACCCTGGGCAGGTCACTAACCCTGTCTGCCTCAGTTCCTCATCTATCAAAATGAGCTGGAGAAGAAAATGGCAAACTATCTTTGCCAAGAAAACCCCAAATGGGGTCAAGAGGAGTCAGATACGATTGAAATGATTCAGCAACAAAAAAAAAAACCCTCTATTCAGAGCCATAACTAGGTTGGGATGTCAGGGATTATACCCTAGGATGCCAACATCTAAAGCCATGCTTGTGGTCTTCTCAGCTTGATTTCCTCTTACTTCACACTGACCCAACCCAGGGCTAACACCCTCAAGGTTCCACTTCTCTTCCAAGCCTATCCTTTACCACCATACCTCCTGCCTTCCAAAAGCTTACCTCCTAAAACAGGGGAATCAGAGGTCCAAGACCGTTGCCTTCCTCAACTGCATTCACCCTGGATACAAGGATACCCTAGTTATGGCTCTGGACCTTCTAATTTAAATGTACAAAAGTTGAGAAAATCTGAATAATGTTGACCTGGCACGTGATCATATCAATAGATAGCATTTATTTCTGTGGTCTCCTAATTAACTTTAGGCACATCACTAATCCTTATCTAGAGATCAATAGTGTTTAGCACTCAGCAAAAAGGCGAGTCTCCAGGTGTGTGGTAAGGCAGAAGGGCAAGATTATGGGAGTCGCAATAGTGTGACTCATCTTTTATTAATTTTCATTTTCATTCCTTTCTGTGTTTCAATGAGAGAAATGTTTGTATTTAATTTCAGAAGATATTACTATAAATCCCCTCAACATTTACTCTTAACTTCTGATGCCTGATATCTGTCACTATATTCCCTCCACTGAGGTTGTAACAGTGGTCTTCTCCTTGTCTTTAGGTTACTGGGCTGGCTTTCGATCCCTTCAAGCATTTTGATGAGCAGGATATTGTTGGAAGTATTGGAAATGTATTACTCACCTCTAATCATAAATCTCTTCAAATCCAAGACCTGTTGGAAGAGTCAGAGGTACATATTGAGTGTCAGGCCCCAGGCAATAATAGAAGAGAATGAAAGCACTTAGCTATGGAGGAAAGAAATTGTTTTAATTGGATGGCACTTACCTTGTTTTGTTACTTACATTCTTGCTATGGAGGCTGTAACAAAAAGATGTAGTGCCTTAGACCTGGAGGAGAAAACCTCAAGACTCAAAGTCTATCACAGTTCTAGGTCCTAATCCTATTCCTTCGTGTGAAATCATATTGGTTTTTGTTTGTTTTTTAATTCATGGCATATGGTACTTGTATTAGGGCCTGAAGGGACCTATGTGGGCAACCAATACAACAGCTCTCATTCTAAAATGTTTTACTGGATAATGGGGCATTTACTCCTTAGGTCTAAATATATTCTTGAGTCTTCTAACATTGATGTCTGATAAATATTGAAGTGGGAAGTTTGTTTATTTATTATTTATTACCTTCATAGTAAAGATTATTTATTACCTTTATAAACTCAATTGAACATGACTCCAGAGCATTGATGAACAGCCTCAAATCCTGAGGACAATGAATCTTTTCTTATTCTAGATAATACTCTGGAGAGATGGCAGCATAGAAACCTATCCCACCAGCTTCAGCATGAGAACAGACTGCTTTGTGATCACAATAAACATCACTTTCCTAGAGGAATCTCTGATAGTCTGGGTAGAGCCTGAAGATCCTCTTTCCATCACACTCTACCTTGGCTTCCAGTATCAACCTAATAGTACCCTTTTTCATCTGAACATCACCTTCCCAAAGGAACAGATATGGGAGAAAGGTAAAATCCCATCAATTATATTATAGTTCAGGAGTTTCAGGATTGGAAGGAACTTCAGAGGCCATCTATGAAACTCATTGATATTTCACTAAATCCATAAATTAATTTAGGTAGCATTATCATTTTTATTATATTGGCATAGCCTAGCCATAAGTGATTATCTCTCCAATAATTAAAGTCTCCTTTCAAAGAATATTTTGTAGTTGCACTTAAATAAATCTTATGCACATTGTGGTAGATGAACTCCTAGATATTTATGCATTGCTAGTTATTTTAATGGGATTTCTCTTACAGTATCTTATTCCTATTTTTTGCTACTACTTATAAAAATATTAATGATTTTTGCTGCATTCTATTACCATGGTGAAGCTATTAATCTTCTCAATTAATTTCTTTGCTTATTCATAAGGGTTTTCTGAGTTGACTATCATGTCATCTGCATACATGAACAATTTTTCTTTGCCTGTGTTTACACTTTTTTATTTTATTCTGTCTTACTGCTATAGCAAGCATTTCTAGAATTATATCAAATAGTAGTGGAGAGGAAAGCCCTCTTTGTTTCATCCATTTGCATTGAGAAAACTTCTAGTGTTTATTGCAAACAATGTTAGCTCTTGGTTTTACATATACGCTTTTGAGAATATTGGAGAAGAGTTCTTCCATGGGGGTATGCTTTTTAGGGTTTTAATATAAATGAATGTTGCATCTTGTCAAAGGCTTGTTCTGTATCTTTTGAAATAAGTATGTGTTTCATTAATTTTGTAGTTTATATTATTGTGCCAATTATTTCCCTAATGTTGTGCCATCTTGCATTCCCAACTTTCACATAGTGAATTATTTTCTGAATGTATTGATATAGTTTCCTGTCAAGGACTTATTTGCTGCATTAATATTCATTAAGAAAAATAACTAACATTTACGTAGTGCATATTCTGTGCCAGGTACTTTAAAATTACTCTCCTTTTGATCCTCACAACCACCCTGGGATGTGGGTGCTATTATTATCCCTATTAAATTAGATGAGGAAACTGAGATTAACTGAATTGCCCAGGGTCACACAGTTAGTAAATGTCCAAAGCCAGATTGAATTCAAGTCTTCTTGACTCTAGTCCCAGTACTCTGCTAACTGTGCCACCCATTGATCTGTACTTCTCTTTCTCTGCCTTGTCTCGCCCTAGTTTGAATGAGGACTGCTATTTGTCTCATAAAAGGAGACTGGTAGAGTGCCTCCTATCTTCATTTTAGGGGTTTTTTGTTTCCTAATTGTTAATTACTTCCTAAATATGTAATATAGTTCACGTATAAATTCATCTAGTCCAGGGTTTTTATCTCCTTTTTAGTTCATGTGTTGCTCGCTCAATTTCTTTTTCAGAGATTGGATTGTTTAAGGTTTCTATTTCTTATTTTGTTGGTTTGGATTTTTTTTTTTGGTAAATATTCATCGACTTCCACCAGTCTTAGAAGCTAGGAAGACTTGGATACAAAACCTTCCTCTGACACATACTGGCTCTAGGCAATTTCCAAAAATTATAGGTCAGAGAGATAGTACCAATCTGCACTGGGAGAGGGATTTTTTTTTTCACTTGGGATTTTACACCAATGAAATCACAGGTCCAATGCTTTTCTTTATCCCTCCCCTTTTGAAGCTCAGATAAGAATGTAGCACCTAGGATAGAGCTCCAGACTTGGAGTCAGGAGGACCTGAGTTCAAATCTGGCCTCAGACACTTGACATATACTAGCTGTGTGACCTTGGGCAAGTCACTTAACCCCAATTGCCTCACCAAAAGGCAAAAAACCCAAAACAAAACAAAAAGAATGTAACACTTGGTCATCCCTGCTCCTCCTACATGTACACCCTCCCCATCTATTGTGTTTCATTGACATCAATTTGTGATGTCCCTCTCGACTATATTTTCATTCTATGCCTTTCTTTATTTTTTTGAGATACTCCCAAAAATATTCCCAAGAACATTAGCTGTCAATGGAAGCAACAAGGTATAGTGGGAAGTATCCTGTAAAGCTAGTCTGAGGACCTGAACCTTTCCCTTTATCTCTTACTCCTTTTGATATCCTGACAGACTTCCTTTGAACCTAGCACGTCAATGACTTTCTCTTTCCAAGTGTGTATGGTGGAATGATGTTGCTTATATTAGCTGGACTGACCCAGCCTCTAACCTGGGGATGGCTGGAGCCGATCAGAGCAGGCTAGAGATAGGAGAGTCAGGAATCAAACAGAAGTTTAATTTCAAAATGTGGGAAATAGTTTACAAGCAAGGAGGCAGATTAGACACATGTGCTGGGGCCCTGCCCCTAGTGGGAGGACCTGCCTCAGTGTGCCTGAACCTTGATTTATATGTTTGTGGCTAGACAAAGAGTCAAACAGAATAATACAGCAACAGTGGTGGGGCACAACAACAACAGTGAGGCAAAGTTGTCTAGTGACAAAAAGTCCGCTCATAGCAGGGCTTCGCAGCTGGGCCTGTTGGTGCCTGTCCAAGCTCAGGGACCATCAGTTCCAGAAGGTGAAAGCAAAGGATTGTTGTTATGGCAAGCTCAGGGCACATGTTGCTTGCTGGGCCTTAGCTCTGGAAAACAGGATGTCTCCTAATAGTGTCTCGACAAGTGTTTAGTTTTTGCCATATGTCCACATGGGTCTGTCTAGATACAGCTCAAAGGAAGGCAGGAATAGGTATCTTTAGCATATCCTCCCCCCATCTTTTCAAGGGAGATTTTGATTCCTGTCAGGAAGGTTGGAGCCAGAGGCTGGCCTCTCTACTCTCCTCAGACAGAGGGGATACTAGGCTAGAATTGTATCTATCTACTCCCTTAAATATTATTAGTCTAAGAGAAATAACATTTAGGTTCAAGCTACAGCTCCTGATCACTGTTCCTTAACAGGGAAAGAGGACCCCAAGCTCTATCCAAGGCTTGACTCTCTTCCCACCAAATGCCAATTCCACAATGAATACACATAGCAAATAACAACTAAATCCATTTATTCAAGCCAACAGCAAAAAAGAAATCAGAGAAAGAATGCACATGAAAATATATGCCAGACAATACAGATTGAATCAGCTCTCTCTCTGGGAGTGAGATAAATCAGCTCAACCAAGATAGTCTCAGATCTCCCCAAAGGGAAATTCCATGAAGTCTCTAGTGTAGCAGGCTAGAGATGGGCGCCATGGCAGAGACTCTGTGGTTCTCTACATGTCAACTTCTTTCCAGAGTCATTGAGAGTCTTTGTGGACCTGAAAAGAGGTTGGAATCATTCATCTTCTCTCTCAAAAATGGATCCAGAACAGCCAAGGATCTCTATTCTCTCCCCACTCCCACCAACTCCTCCACTCCCTCCCCATTCCCATAGGCAATCTCTACCAATAAGGAGAGTCCCATACAACCGGCCCTTTGAGTCAAAGGTTTCATGAGCAACTCACTACATATTCCTTTTGTGGGGTGTAGTTCTCTTTTCAAAATTCTACTATACACAAAAGTCACTACCTTGGGGAAAAAGGGAAAGTAAAAAAGTGCTTATTCCTTGCTGCTTTCAGAGCCTAGGGTGCTTCCCAGCTTGTGGTTTCTAGGGGTATCTGGATTCCAAATTCATTGTCAGGCTTGTAACGGTTCAATTTCAAATCTCTACTTTACTCTAATTCCTCACATAGCGCTAAGCCCCCACCCAGGTCAGCTTCTACTGATCCGATAGTCTTCTTGTTGAGGTCAGATTTGGGAGAGCGGTTTGAGCGTGAAAGAATTCACTTAGACATTCTCAGTAACCAATAGGAGCTATTATTTACATGAGAAAGCAACGTGGGTCTCATTAGCAAGAAAGCTAATTGAGATGCTGATATTTGGGAGGACCAGGCTTATATAGACAGAAAGCTATACAGCCTATAGATGTTCAGGATGACGATGTAATTTTAGGGTTTTGTGGTGGTTGAAGATTAAGGAAGAATTTTATGACACAAGATGAGGGAGATAGTTAACAAAATAAGAAGGACAGGGGGTACAGCTAGGTGGTGCAGTGGATAGAGCACTGGCACTGAAGTCAGAAGGACCTGAGTTCAAATTTGGCCTCAGACCAAACACTTGACACTTACTAACTATGTGACCTTGGGCAAGTCACTTGACCCCAATTGCCTTAAAAAAAAAAAAAGATGGGGGACACAGGATAAGGAAGGGAAAAAAAGCAATTCTTTTGGTCTTACAAGATAAGAAGTTCTGTGGTCTTTCAAGATAAAAGGAAAGGGACTTTAGGACACCCTCAAGTTACAGGATCTCAAATTACAGGATGGACTACAGAATGAGCCCAAACCCCTCAGGAGGGGTTTCACAAAGTACTGGAAAAACAGCTCTTAATGTTCTTTTAAATCTTAGAACACCGAATGCTGTATCTACACCAATTCTGACTCCAAACAGGGAATGCTCTGTTTTCTCTACCACTCTCTATCTGAAAGCTTTAAGTAAGATATAACACATAGCTCTGGATTTCTGTTGATCAACAGTTTATCACATTTGGGAGCTTAACAAGAGGCATCTAGGACAAAGGTTAATGTCTCTCAAGCCCAGAGGAAAGCAAGTGGGTTTAAAGTGAGTAAATGACCCACAATGCATTTAACTATCTCCAGGGAGAGAGAAAAGGAAGGAAGAAAGTAAAGTTAAAATCTATCTTTCAAGCCCAAGCTGAATCAGTAGTGAATTTACTCAGGACATAGTTTTTGCTTGAAACATCATTATTGTGTCTCTAGATTTACTGATTTCTTCCTTAAGAGTTTATTTCTATTTCTTTGATGTTTTCAGTATTTTCACTTAATTCTCTGATTGTTCTTCTGAGTCATTTTGGAGATTTTTAGAGTTTCTCCATTGTCATTTCATGGGTCCTTGGAATATTGGCTCTATTATCAAAGTCCTTCATAACCTAGCCCCCTTCTACCATCCTAGTTTTCTTACATCTTACTCCCCACATGTCCTCTTTGATCCAGTGACACTAGACTCCAGGCTGTTCCACCACTAAGACACTCCATTAGCTCCCACCATTTTCTTTGGCTGTTCCCTGTGCCTGCAATGCTCTTGCTCCCTCCAACTCCTGACTTCCCTGGCTTCTTTTAAGTCCCAACTAAAATCCCACCATCTATAGGAAGCCTTCCCAAACCCTTCTTAATTCCAGTACCTTCCCTCCATTATTTCTCATTTATCCTGTATATAGCTTGCTTTGTATCTATTTGTTTGTATGCAGTCTCCCCCTTAGACTGTAAGCTCCTTGAGGGCAGGGACTGTCTTTTGCTTCTTTTTGAATCCCTACCCCTTAGCACAGTCAGTGCCTGGTACATTATGATTATCTTCATCTTCCTAAGGGAATTTTTACACAATTCCCTTTGCTGCAAAGAACTTGTCCATCAAGAAGGCTCTTTTTAAAAAAAAAAAATTTGTTCCTCTCTCCTCCTCAGTTTTTGCCTTTTCATTTAGTTGACTTTCTATGGTATCATTGCTGAAAATGTGCTTAGCCTCAGTCCTTTCCCTTCCAAAAACCTAGTGATGTTGTTCCCTACCTCCAGCCCTTGACCCCTATTATCTCTTCTCTCAGAACACCAAGATTGGATGACAACTACATCTCTTAAAGGGTGAAGCTGACCACTTGGAACATAGCTTCAAGGACACCACTCTGAGCAGCCACTGTAGCTGGGCCTATTTTATCTCCAGCCTTTCCAGGCTTCTAGGCTCCAACCTTCTTACTGCCTTCTTTGCCATTCCTCCACATTCTTGCCCTGTGGCTGTCTTCCACACCTGACTCCTTTCCTTTTTCTCCAGGTCTTGAAGCTGGTTTGATTCATGTACTGCAACTTGCTCTGGGAATAGGGTTCCCCTTAGGACACTGCCAAGCAGTGCCTACAATTATAGTAGCCATGAGGGTTTTCAGAGCTATCCCCAGCTGCGTAAGCAGGGGAGACTAAGGGTGGGAATACCACAGGACATCTAGGAATAACAGGCTGATGAGCTAGTCTTAAGTCATTTTTTTTCTATAAGACTTACATATGGAGGGCTCTTTCACATTTCCTTTCCTGCAATTGCTGAATTTTCTGCATCTTTTTCCCTGTATTATCTGGGCTAAGAGGAAAAATGGTCCTAAATTCCCTCTCTGTCCTCTTCCTAGAATTCCCCCAGTCTGACTCATCTTGAGCAACACTGTCCTCCAACCTGTCTTTTTCAGACGAACATCTGGTTCTCCATACTTCCCTTATCTTGTACTAACGGAACTGATGTTTTGAACCCAAATCTAATACTTTATATAATATATAAATATATATACATAATATATAATATATATTTATTGATATGTAATGTATAATACTACTATTTATCCTTCTATCCTATGAGTAGTGGCTGTACTTCCAGCCTGGGCAAGACAGGGAGACCTAGTCTCAAAACAAATTAAGAATATAGAAAGAGAGGCTCTGATTCTTATAATCTAGCTACACAGATTTTCACAATCTAGCCAATAGCCCACAGATGCTCAGATTCCTTAAGAGTCTAGCTAATATGGCGCATCTTCAATAAACCTTGTCTTTGGCTGAAAGAAGGCTTGGGTCGCATTCTTTTGGACAGGAACTGCGTGTTGTGATTTTGGAGTCCCAGGACCCCTGAACCCCTAAACTGCATTAATAGGATGGTAGAGATGGAAGCAGAAGCAGCATGTGTAGTCAGAGTCCTATACTTGGAGTTAGACAGCCTGCGTTTGAGTCCCAATGGTGTACTTTGGGCTGTGCCAGTCTCCTGGTCTGTAAAATGGGTGAGCTGAACTAGAAGGCCCTTAAGATGTTTTCCACTGCTAAAAATATGATTCTTAAGTAACATCTCTAGTCCAGTTCATTTGTCTGGCATTTGGTGGGACCCAGGATCTTTTACTGGTCCTAACATTAATTTGTTTTGTGCTGCCAAGGTAATTGTGCTTACGATTTGTTTCTGAAGAAGTAACCAAATACTATTCTCCGTTCTAAGGTGAGAAGTACTCATGGGGGCTTTCTCCAGAAAGTCTGCAACATGGAACAGGTACCTACTATATAACAGCTGTGCTGAATGAAAGCAAGAAAGACCCAAAGCAGACATTCCTGAGATTCTCAGTCACCACAGCTGCCACTCAGTGTTATTTCTGGGATCATCACAACAAGACATGGAAGAGTGATGGCTGCCGAGTAAGAAAGAGATTTATTCCAGCCTCTGGGGTGCCTATAAACCCATACTGCTGATATCTCATTATGGACAGCACAGCAGAAGGAAAAACCCAGGGGCTAGACTGGTGTGCAGAAGGAAGGAGGGTGCTGTGCAGAGGGGATTGGGACTAGCTTGGGGGATTGGAAGGAAATTGAGAAGTAGCTTTTTTTTTTGTGGCTACTTTCTGTTTTCTTCTTGCCTTTTTAACAGTCACACTTGAGAAATGCTGAATGCAACTGATCATTCTGGAAAATGCTCAGTGTAACCCAGGTTTCAAGCCTGGGCAGCAAGCAGCATGAAGGACACAACTGACATGAGGAAGTATAGGACCAATATAGACCGACCTGGAAAATGTAGAAATCTCGATGCTCCCCCGTGGGAACAGGGGTCATTCCACTTTGACAAATGTGAATTAAATGAGCCAAGGCATGTAAAGCACTATATGAGTGACAGCTACTACTACTAGTACTACTACTACTACTACATTTTAAGTAAAATGAAAGCAAAAAATTTTCCTACTAAATAAAGTTAGAGGACTTTAGTGAACAAAAATAAAGAATCAGCTCCCCCTTCTAGATGAGCTGACCCTCTTGTCTCACTGCCTACCTAAAAAGAGTACTACACCTTGTAATAAAACAGGGCCTGGTTCCATAATTAGGGGAGGTTCTCTCTAAATTAACAATACAAAAGAAGTAATAAGGCATGCTACAGTGGCTTCTAAACTCTTTTGATGGCACATCCCATCTGTGAAATGTTTTGAGCAGGTGCCCCTAACACATGTATATTTACTTATTAGTAAATCATATCTATGTATTACTATTCTAATATTTATTTATACAATTTATACCATGTACATAACACATTATAAAATCTATGCATTTCATATGTTATATAATTTATACATTATAAGATTTACACTAAAATATTAATTAAAAAGGATGAAATAGAGGCAGCTAGGTGGTGCAGTAGATAGAGCTCCAGCCTTGGAGTCAGGAGGACCTGAGTTCAAATCCAACTTCAGACATTTAACACTTACTAGGTGTGTGATGCTGGACAAGTCACTTAATCATGATTGCCTCACCAAAAAGAAAAAAACAAAAAACAACCAAAACAAAACAAAACAAAAAAGGATGAAATATTTGTTCCTAGCATCAATAGAAAGAATAGGAGGAGGAATAGAGGAAGATCTCTGTTCATATCCTGCCCCTGATGCTTACTTCCTGACTGTCTGATCCTGGACAAGTCACTTACCTTCCACCTGTATCCGGACAGAGAACTTGGTGGACCTAATGCTATGTAGGAAATGAGTTATGTTTTGGCTTGCGGTCATAATTACTAAGTGATGTGGATTTCTTATCTCACCACACAAAACTAGTCTGACAAGGAGGATTGCATGTAAGATGCCCAGTCAAACATTGCTCACAGCTCTAAGAGTCCCATTAGAAAGGAACCCCTGAGATATAGAAGGAAGAGAACATTTGGGGGAAACAAGATTTTGCAGAATTTTGCTTTCTGGGGGTTATCAGAAAGTTAAATGTATGACATTGTCAGAAAAAGTAAGTCTAAGTCATAATGGCTGCACTTTTTCTCCTTTATCTGCAGAATACTATACAGATATTAATTAAGTAGGCAAATTCTACTTAGAATAATTGAATTTTACAACTGGAAAGGCCATTAAAAATTATCTAGTCCAACCTTGTGTTTCTTTGCCGGACTTCTGCTGCCTAAAAGGTCATTATTGGAGTGCAAGAAAGAGGACGGATTTAAAAGGCTAATGAGCACTCTGGATCTTGTATGGTTAAAGTGGCCATTGATGGCAAATTCAATTCACTAAAGCATTCGAGAGAAATGAGCCATGTGAGGCCTAGCCAAGAATGTGTTGGACTGAGAGGTAGGAAGTTCTGGCTTTGACAAAGGCATATTTACTTCAAAATATAAAAAGAACACTTCCCCCAGCAGCTTGGGGGTATAATTCCCCCAATGCCACCTCGGTCTCTAGAGGGAAAAGAGGGAGATTTAAGCTTGAAACTTAGCCCAAGTGTGGTCCAAATCCCACATCAAACACTTAGGATCATAAGATCTTGGAATCAGAGCTGGAAGAGGCCCAAGGGGGTCATTTAGTCCAAACCTCTCACTTTTTCAGAAGAAACTAAAGCCTATCTGGGTTAAGGTCATATCAAAATAATAATGATAATAATAATAATAATAACAAGTATTTATATGGTACTTTACAGTTTATAAAATGCTTTACAAATATTATAGGATTTGATCCTGGAAGGTAAGTGCTATTATTATCCCCATTTTCCAGATGAGGAAACTGAAGCAAGCAAAAGTTAAGTGACTTGCCCACGGTCAGATAACTAGCAAGTGTCTGAGCTCAGATCTGAACTCAGGTCTTCCTGTCTCCAGATCCAGTGCTCTATCCATTGTGCTTTCTAGCTACAGGTAGTAAATGGAAAAGTTAAATGTGAATGCTAGTCCTCTGATTCCAAATCCAACGTTCCTTCTACTGTAGCTCATTTAATTATGTTATGATTCTGAACGCGCCACTGAAACTCCATAAGCCTCCATTTCCTCGTCTGCAGACCTCACAGCATCGAACAAATGACATGTGCAGTTGACTCTGTCAGGCCCAGGCCTGTTACATGGCCCCTCAGGGGTATATTCTAGGTTTTGTGGGTGTTTCTTCTCTACTGCCATTGACTTCACCCCTTACTGGCTGTTTCCTCTATTTTAGAGGGGGAGGGCAGTGAATAGGACCCCCGGTTCCATTTAACCATTTGACATTGGATTAGCTTTTACAAAGGGGTGGTGCAGTAAGTAGATAGAGTTCTGAGCCTGGAGTCAGGAAGACTCTTCTTCATGAGTTCAAATGTGGCCTCAGACATTTTGTAGCTGTGTGACCCTGGGCAAGTCACTGGACCCTGTTTTTCTCAGTTTCCTCATCTGTAAAATAAGCTGGAGAAGGAAATGACAAACCACTCTAGTATCTTTGCCAAGAAAACCCCAGATGGGGCCACGAAGAGTCAGACAGAACTGAAACAGTTTAACAACACCAATAGTAATTTTTAAAAATTTTATTTTATTTACTCATTTTATTATTTATTATTTTTGTTTATTTTATCTATATTTATTTATTATTTTTATTTTATCTTTAAATATATGTATAGCATGAGCAAATCTACACATATTTCCCCCAGTATCTCAGGGTTATAACTCTCCCCTACACACACACATATACCACCTCTGTCTCTGGGGGGAAAGGAGGGAGATTTAGGTTCAAAACTCAGCTCATTTCCCACATGGCATTGATTCAACAAAATCCATGTCCAGATTCAGGCACAACTGCCAGAGGAATCCTTCCCCTGGGCTGGAATGCCAAAGGCTGCTCCCGATCGCTTCTTGCTCCATGGAGCATCAGTGCTTGGCTAGATGAGAACTCAAGCTTCCTTGTTGTTCTCCTGACCTTTTGAAACTCCCAAAGTCAGAGCCTACCCTCCTTTCCCCACACAACGTGAGCAAAGGAATAACTGACATCCCACAGAAACAAACAAGGCAAAGAAACATTTTAAGTGGACCAACAGGTGTTTAGCCACTTGGAACCAGCTACAAGCCATCACTCTAACCACCATTATTATTTTCAATAAAAATAAATAATCCTTTCTGGGGCAAAAATTAAATTCTTTATTTAACTGTGACAAACAACATGGTATAGTGAATAGAGAACCGTCCTCAAAGGTAAGAAGACCTGGGTTCAAGTTCAGCCTCTGACACATATATTGCTCTAGGACCCTGGGCAAGTCACTTATCTACAGGCAACTCTCTGAGGCTAGACATGGTAGAGAAGTTGCCGACATGCATGGGCAGAAGTTTCCTTATCCAGTAAAATCACAGGCCCATTCCCTACACCTATACAGTGTGTGTATCCTCTCATTGTCGTTGTTGTTCATCCTTCATTCTCAAAGAGGACCAATGACATCACGAGGGTGATGTCTTTCACAGGCTCTGAGTGGCGAAACACCAGAACAAAGCAAAATGAAAGACCCTCTTGTCTGCAACTTCAAGCAATGCGTATAGATACCCTGCAGGCCCTCAGCAGCTAGCTATACATCACTGCCACACGTTTCTCGTTCGTTCTGCGTTTATGCTCCTCTGGCTCTTTCTTGGCTGGCTGACTCCAGTCCTTTCCTCTGATGGCAGGTAGGGCCTCAGAGCACAATTACCAAGACCCAGTGCCTCTGCAGCCGCCTGACCTCCTTCAGCAGCTCCTTTATAACCCTGCCCAGGACGGTGAATGTCCAAGACATGGTCGAGCTCTTCCATGGGGCGTCCCGCAATCCCGTTGGGGTCTCCTGCTGGCCAGCCTTTTGGGATTTTACATTATTTGTGTTGTATGGGCCTGGAGAAAAGATAGAGATGACTGGAAGAAGGTGAGGTGCACAGAAGCTTTGGCAAAATGCTTCTCCCCAACAACCCCTACATGGAATATCAAAGACCAGAGTTCAAATCCTGCCTCATCCATGCACTAGCTGCATGACCACTGCCAAGTCACTTAACCTCCGTCAGCCTCAGTGTCCTCATCTGTCAAATGAGAGCTATCTCTGAGTGCTATCTCCGAGGGTTGTTGTGAGGTTCAAATGAGATGATATTTGTAAAGCGCTTTGCAAGCCTTAAAACCTTAAAAAACACTTTATAAGTGCTAGCTGTTATTATTGTTATTATCCCTGAAAGAACACCTTTGTCAGATCATATAGTGTCAGATCTGGAAAGAACTTTAGAGATCATCTAGTTTCTTCTCCTCCTTTTGCAAACATAGAAACTGAGGCTTAGAGAGTTGAAGTGACTGCCCAAGGTTACAAGCATAGGATCAGAACCCAGACTTGAACCCAGGCCTCCCTCTTCCAAGTCCAAGGCTCTTGCCATCGTACAGCATGGAAACTGAAGAAGAGGAGGAAATTTTCCTTCATCCTGTCTCTATGGCCTCTGCTGCCCAAGTGACCCAGGATATAGCTCTTGTTCCACCCCCTTTTTGCAGGGATTTGTGTCTTACCTGGCTTTAGTACAGTGGAACCCTAGAAAAGAACTTCTAGAAATTGCAACAGAAATTAAATCCCCTTGTGCCTTACTTTACCCCAGGGGATCTTAATCTGGGATCCACAAACCCAAAGGGTCCATGGATAGATTTCAGGAGGTGGAGGGGTGTAAATTTGGATGGAAAAAACTGCACCTTTATTTTTACTATTCTCCTTGGCATTTACTTCAATTAAAAAAAATTATGCTGAGAAAATGTCTATGGGCTTCCCCAGACACTCAAAGGAATTCCCAACATACACACAAAAAGTTTAAAACCTTCTGTTTTACACAGTCTATTTACCTGAATTTGGAGACAGAAGACTGGAATGAGAATTCTGAGTCATCATTTACTAGCTGTGTGACCTTGGGCAAATCACTTAACTTTTAAACCCTCAAGTTCCTTGTCTTTACTTCAAAGGGTTGTTGCAAGAAAAGCAGTTTGTAAATCTTAAGGTACAATCGATTTATTCCTATTTATTATTTATTTTATTTCTTATGCATTATTATTCTCATTCATGCAAAGTTAGATGTAAATGGTCATGCATTAGTTGCTTTAAAAAAAATGAGAATCCTTTTCTAATATAAACAATTACCACCTAAATTTGTGGTTTATCATTTTTATCTGTTTTTTTTCTTAAAAAAAATTCTAAACTTAACAAATGCCACAGAAGATGGGCATTTTCTTTCTGTCTGGTTTTCTTACAATGGGAAATTGTCTCTAATGTAGTTCTCATTCCCTAATTAACATAGAAAGTGACCCGTTCATTCCTGGCAACCCTGATGGAGAGTCCAGTGATGCCATAGGTCTAATTGTACAGACAAACATGTAGCTTCAGCTCTCATTACTGCAATAGTGGCTTAAATATACAGTGTATACACACACACACACACACACACACACATATGCGTGTATATGTATGTACATGCAATACACATATGTATATACACATACACATATAATATATACAGGTACATGTACACACATATATGTATATATGCAGTATATCCCAAAAGTCTTGGTGCAGATTTAAACTAATAAACTTTTGCGATACTCTGCATAGGAGTGTGCATGTGTGGGCGTGTGTGTGTGTGTGTGTGTGTGTGTGTGTGCACACGTGTGTGTGTGAGATCAGCTATAGATATAGCCAGTCTTCTTTATTTGCCAGGACATCTGTCCCACATAACACCATACTTCTGCCCTGAATTTTTATATTGATAATTCTGGGGCAGTGAGTTTTGCCTGTTTCTGTTTTTGGGAGAAAGCACGGGTTGTTCTGTTATGGGAACACTAGGGTATTTTTCTGGTTTTGGTCGCCCTACAGATGAAAGTCACCATCCTGGCAGATAATGCCCCCGGCTCTCAATCTCACCACCTCGTGCAGGTCTTTACCGGGTCTTGTAGAAAGGCGACTACAACAGCCAAGGTGAGACAAAAGCTCTTCATTCTGAAGTGAACTTGCCCACGTTCACCTCCTCATGCATCACACCTGGATATTTCAATGGCCTGCTTGCTGCTGTGTTCACCACAAATCGCTCCTCCCTCCAATCCCTCCTCCATTCAACCACCAAAGTGACTTTCCTAAAAAGCCAGTCTGCCCATGTCACAGATACAACACCTTCCCCTCTCACTCAATAAACTCCAGTGGCTCCCTAGCACCTTCAGAATTCTTTGTTTGGCATTGAAAGCCCTTTGTAACCCGGCCCAGCTGCCTTTCCAGTCCTTGAACACTTTATAACCCTCCCCTTCACCCAGTGACACTGGCCTCCTTACTATTCCTCCAGCAAGATGCTACATCTCCTAATTCTGGGCATTTTCTCTGGTTGTACCCCATGCCTGGCATGCTCTCCTTCCTCATCTCCAACTTCTGGCTTTCCTCACGTTCTTAAAGTCCCAGCTAAAATCCCACCTTTTACAGGAAGCCTTTCTTTCCCAGTCCCTCTAATTCTAGTACCTTCCCTCTGTTAATTATTTCCTGTTTATCCGGCATATGGCTGGTCTGTACATATCTGTTGTCTCCACCTTAGATTATGAGCTCCTCAAGAGCAGGGAGTCTCTTTTTTCCTTTCTGGCACATAGCAGGTGTTTAATAAATGCTTATTGGCTACTTTGACTTGTCGACTTCTGATAGTAGTAGAGTCCTGGTCCCTCCATCTGCTAGTACCTTCCCCTTTGAGCTCACCTTCCTTCTGCTCTGTATATATCTTTTCTGTACCTAGTTATGTACATATTACCTCATTAGACTGTGAGCTCCTTGAAGGTAGGAACTGTTTTCCCTTTCTTTGTATTCCTAAGTCTTAGCACATGCCAGGCACATAGTAGGTGCTTAATGCATATATGTTGATTGATTGATTTAAAAATAAATCACTTAAGAGACTGTATGTCCAGCTTCTAGACTGTCCTTTCCTAGACCTAAGAATCCAAAGGACTGAAACCTCATCCAAGTCAAATGAACCTGCCTAACTCCACCATTGTGGGTTCCATTTCATTCCTTAGGCCCAATCTCCAAATGTCAGGTGTTAGAAACTCTTGTGCTAAGCTTTCTTTGTCCAATTGAAGGTCATTCTCATCCTTTATGGGTCAGAGGGGTGGAGTGATCCTCACCACCTGAGTGACCCCCACAAAGTCATCTTTGAACAGGGGGCACAAGATGTCTTCCTTGTCACCACCAGAGTCCCACTGGGACAGTTGCCTAGCATCCGACTCTGGCATGACAATTCTGGTACCAGCCCATCCTGGTAAGCATTTACTTTTTATTCAAGTTTCTCTTCTTCCCTGTATGTCGCCAGGGAGAGACCAGCACAGTTTTACAATGGAAAAAAAAATGACGATACTCTTGAGCTAAGAACTGGTAAAAATGAGCATCTATTTGAGGGGAGTCATTATCAATCAATATAAATTTATTAAGATCTACTACAGGTTTTCTGACTGTTTTGCAGAGAGGACCTGCTTTAGAGCTCCTAAAACCCAAAACTTCCTTAAACCCCTCCTCCTAGCACATAGTAAATGCTTAATAAATGCCTGTGCAGGTGAGGAGTCACGGCCACAAAGACACTAGACCACGCAGACAATGAGATGTACAGAACCCAGGCCTTTTCCATTTCACAGTCAGCGTAGTTGCCAGCGGGTTTTATATATGGAACAAGCAACACAAATATACCCTCCATTCAGTTGAGGGTGGCGCAACAGCGCTGGCAGAGATCCTATGATGACACAAGGCTCTTTTGGGGAAGTTTGGGTAGAGGGGAGAGGAGAGGAGGGAAGCCAGAAAAAGAAGCCGCACCTTGGGGAGGGTCCATCTGATCAGGATGGGGCAGAAGAGAAGCATGAGAGCCCCTTGGTAGTCTATTTTAACTAATTATGATTGCTAAAGCCAATGTTTCTATGCCATCTAAATTCATCACCCTGGGACAAAACCCCAGTCACCCAGCCCTAGTTGTGGCCTTCATGTCAATGCTTCCACAAACCTTTTCCCAGTAGATATTTCCAACAGACTGGTATTCTCTTCTTAGACAGTAGAGGACTCCTCTGAGGATGGGAAAAGGCCAGGGCCTGGTTGGAGATAAGAATGGCCTTCATTTTTCCTTGGATCAAAAGATAGAGCTAGAAGGACTTGGTCATTTAACCCAACCCTTCCATTTTGCAGATGAAGAATGAGGCTCGGAGAGTTTGAATAACTTTCCCCAGTTACACAGATGGTAAGTGCCCAAGCTAGGAGTCAAACCCAGGGCCTCTGACTCCAAATTCCGGGCTGCTTTCCACTGTACTTTTTCAGTAACAGTATCATCATGACATGAGCTCATCACTGAATGGGTCAAGACCACCTCTTTTGTATTCGGTAAACAGTCGACATTAACTCTAATGATGTGATGCTCTGTTTCACTACAGGTATATAAACCAAGTAATTGTCAGTGATTTGGCCACAGAGAAGAAGTGGCATTTCCTATGTAATTGTTGGCTGGCTGTTGACCTGGGAGACTGCCAGTGGGACCAGGTTTTCACATCAGTCTCAAAGAAAGAACTCTTTTCCTTTAGGTATTACTGGTAAATAGCAACCCATATTGAATGCTATCCTGTGTCTCCTGCCATATACCCAAGGGGCCATCAAGCCTCGCTCCAGCCTTGTGGCTGCTGCAGTAGCTCCTGGCTGTAATGGACACATCCTTTTGGTTCACCAGACCTCCAGGATTTCTCCTGGGATCTCTATAGATGCACTAGGTATGTTTTTATAATGGACTTATATGGACTTAAACTCAACTCAACTCAACATGTCCAAAACTGAATTAATAATCTTTCCTCCCAGATCCTCCACTGCCAACTTCTCTATTACTGTAGCAGGGACCACCATCCTCCCATCCCTTGGGCTCATAACCTAGGATCGTCCTGGACTCCTCGCTCTCTCTCACCCCCCATATTCTAAGGTGTTGCCAAGGCCTGTTGATTTCACCTTTGCAACATCTCTCCAAAGAGACCCTATCTCTACTCTGACACTGCCACCGTAATGGTACCATAGGACCTCATCCAGTCAAGCTTTGACTAAAGCAATAAATAGCCTGCTGCCCCCTCCTGCCATGAATCTTTCTCTACTCCACCTTCCTCCACTTGACATCAAGTAGCTTCCTATGGCCTCCAGGATCAAATATAAAATCTTGTTTGGGTTTTAAAGGCCTCTATATGCTGCCCCCTCCCACTTTCCAGTGTTCCTACACTTGACAATTCTACATACTCAGGGATCCAGTGAATATTGACTTCTGCTGTCCCTCGAACAAGATACTCCATCTCCGGACTGGGCATTTTCCCTGGCTGTCCCCATGCCTGGAATGCTCTTCCTCATTCTGATTCCTGGCTTCCCTGGCTTTCTTCAAGTTCCAGCTAAAATCCCACCTTCTATAGGAAGGTTTTCCCAGTCTGCCATAATTCTAGTGCCTTGCCTCTGTTGATATCACCAGTTTATCCTCTCTATAGCTTGTTTCTACATAGCTGTTGGCATGTTGTCTCCCCCAATTGACTATGGGCTTCTGGAGGGCAGGGATCGTCTTTGCCTTTCTTCGTATCCTCAGGACTTAGAGCAGTGCCTGACTCGAAGCAGCAGCTTACTAAATGTTGACTGACTGACTGACATGTTGAAAGCCTAAAGGAAGTGAAGCTGAGTCTGAAGCATGTGAGGAATGTAGAGTTCTTGCCTCTATTTTCTAATCCCTTTCTTTTTTTTGGTAGGATTTTCATGACAATTTGTATTTGTGAGGAATGCTGAGTAAGTATACCATAAATAAATAGTCCCTCCTCTTTCCTTAGGTTGCCCAGAAGAGAGAAAAGCAAGAAGTGGGGATAGGAAATGAGCAACGTGGGTCAGATTAATTCATACTTTAGAATGCACGTAATTTTTGAGCACTGATTAAAAAGATGAAATAATCAAGCTCATTTTTATTTTAATTTTTGTTAAGAGCTTCCCTTTCACCTCCCCCACATCTTCTAAGCACGGTGTAGAATATGGTGCTAGCTGGTGCAGTGGACAGAGCGGGTGTGGCCCAGAGTCAGAAAGACCTGAGTTCAAATCTAGCTGCAGGTACTTAATAGGTTAATAACCTCTGTCTGCCTCAGTTTCCTCATTTATAAAATAGAGAGAACAATAGAACTTGCTTCTCAGAGTTGTGAGAATAAAATGAGATAGCATTTATAAAATGCTTTGCAAACCTTAAAATGCTTGATATAAATGCCAATTATCACCATCATCATTATTACTGTATATGAAATAGCAGATTTTTTATAGCCCTTTAAGGTTCAGAGGGTGCCGTTCATACAGTACTTATGGATGGCATTATCCCAATTGAGAACTGAGGCTCATAGAGGTTAGAGGACTTGTCCTAGGTCCCAAAGGCAGAAAGGGTTGGAGATAAGATGCCAACCCAGATCTCTCCTGCCTCCAAGCCCAACCTTCCCATTCTGTGCCCAAGAATCTCCCATTCCTAAAAACGAACAAAAAAATCGAGCCTGACAGTGTCTTGTCTCCTGGGTCCTCCACGATTGTAGAAAAATTCACCCAGGAGCACCTGTGGTTGTCGGTGTTGACCTGCAGCCCGTGGAGCAAGTTCACAAGGGTCCAGCGACCGTCTTGCCGCATGACCCTTCTTATTTATAACATGGTCATCAACATCATGTTCTGGAAGCTCAACAGCTTGGAAGGATGGAGGTAAATCCAGCCAGGACCCCTCCATCCCAGAGCCTGGAAGAGAACGCTGGCCTCCTTTCCTTCCCTGCTTTGCAGCCTGATAGTAAGACATTCTAGGAGGGCTTCTCTGCTCTTGCCTCCTTTCATTTATCAACCAATAAACTAATAATAACAGCTAGTGTGTGTTTAGAACTTTCCATACCCTGTGAGGTAGGGGCTTCTACTACGGTCCCATCCATTTTCATACATGAGTCAGCCAAGCCTGGAAGAGATGATGGAGTTTGCCCACAGTCACACAGATAGTAAGCGGCTGCGGTAGGATTTGAATCTGTGACTTCCTGATTCTGAGCCCAGCACTATCCACTGCCCCACCCAGCTACCAGCTAACTGCGCCAAGTTCTCTGGGCTCTTCATAGTTGGGTTTTTTTTTTATCTCCAGCCAAACATACAACGAGGAAAGCTGCTATGCGAGAATTTTTTAAAATTCCATTTTATTTCTATGTTGACTTAACAAACACCAAATAAAATGAGCATTCTGATATATTGTACCACGGGGGAGGATTGTACATGAAACTACAAACTTTCAGGCATTATGCTCTTCTTTTTAAGTGCACAGTAAATTCAACAAGTCACATTCGAAGCTGCCCTAAGGGCAGCTAGGTGGAACAATGGACAGAGCACCGGCCCTGGATTCAGGAGGACCTGAGTTCAAATTTGGCCTCAAACATATAACACTTACTAGCAAGTCACTTAAGCCCATTGCCTAACAAAACAAAAAACAAAAACAAAAAAACCCAAAGCTGCCCTGTCTGTTTGGGATTCCTTCTGGTCTCTACTCTTCTTTGGAGGGAGGAGGAAAATCTCTCTAATCCTCCTTTCCCTAATAATAATAACAATAGCTAGTATTTACATGGAAGCACTTTACAAATTTTAATTTGTTTGATCCTCACAAAAACCCTATGAGGGAAGTACTATTGTTATTCCTATTTTCCAGATGAGAAAACTTAGGTTGAGAGAGGGTGACTTGAGTCACAGTGAGGAGGGGTCTGAAACAGGATTTGAACCCAGGTCTTCCAGACTCTGAGTTCAGCACTTTGTCTCAACGCCACCTAGCTCCCTTCCCTCCTACCTCTCTTCTCCTCCCCCTCCTCCCCAAGGAAATGAAAAGCAAACCCCTTGTAATAAATATGCCTGCTGTAACAAGTAATTATGTGTGATGGAGAAGGTAGGAATGTGTTTACGGTGGTGATAGCGTGCACAGTGAACCTGGGTACTATCTCTATTCCCTCAGGAAGACCTTCTTCTGTGACCTGCTCTGAACTGCTCATGGGCATCCAAACTGCTTCCATCCTCTTCCCGGTGAATCTCATCACTGGGAGAATCTTCCCACTGATTCAGCCACAAGAGATTCCCCCTCATTTCCTTCCCATTCAGGCATCTTCCCCCTCAGACACATCTTTCGGGTCTGTAACGACTCAAAAAATAATTGAGGTTAAGTTCTGAGTCACATTGTAGATCTCCTTTTCAAGAATAATAATAGCTATCAAAGGTGAGGCCATCAGGAATTTGTCCTTGGAGCACAAATTCAGAGGGCAAAAAAAACTTGAAATGTTTGCAAAATATCGTACAATTTCCAAATGTGTTGCGTGCACATTTTAATAGCATTTGCATTTCTCTATAGCACAAAACCAACTGAGGTTAGCATTTAGTTAGCAAGAATAATGATTTAAAATAGGACACCACCAAAAGATAAACTTCCCCACACTTCCCATGCCCCTCTCCTCTGGTTGTACGGTACATAAGCTCCTTCTTCCTGGTCCAGCCCAACTCTGCTGTATCCCCTTTCCCTTTCCAGTGGAGGCTTATCTAGCAGTCTTTTCTTGATGTCTGGGTCTCCCTTCCCACACAACTGAAATTGTCTTAATTTGTTTCATTTTCCCATCATGAATTACAAGACTGATTTGAGGGAATATTTTGTGCTGCTTGTCCTGGGTGCCAAAATTTATTGCTATAGCTCTGTAGAAGATACCTTTATATGGGTAAAAGAAAATTTTCAAATTTTTTTTTGGGGGGGGCTAGGCAATGGGGTTAAGTGACTTGCCCAGGGTCACACAGCTAGTAAGTGTTATGTGTCTGAGGCCAGATTTGAACTCAGGTCCTCCTGAATCCAGGGCTGGTGCTCTATCCACTGTGCCACTTAGCTGCCCCTTAAAACTTATTTTTTAAAGTCACTGAGTTGTGCCTAATCAGACTTTCCACTTTATTCTGTTATTTATGAATTGGCCTATTGTGGGCAATCAATAGCCTGCAATTTCTTGGGGAGCTTGGTGTTTCATAAGTACATCATTTCTCTTAGCAGATGGTCCAAGTATCTAGAAATAATGATGGTTTGTGGTTTGTTTTGAAGTCTTCTAGTAATCTCATCATTCCACTCCTCTTGTGCATTCTGTGATATAGTCTTCCCCTTTACTCGATGAACTCCAGTGGCTCCTGTCACACGCAGGATCAAACAGAACCCTCTGTGTTTGACATCTAGTCTGGCACTCGCCCGCATTTCTGGTCTTCTACTTTACTTCCCTTTGAATACGCTGTGATCCAGCAACACTGGCCAATGTGACATTCCTCAAACATGACATTCCATCTCCTGTTACCATCCCTAGGTACTGGCTGTCCTCCATGCTTGTAATGTTCCCCCTTGGCGCCGCTGTCTCTTAACTTCCCTGGCTTCCTTCAAGGAAACAAGGCAAGGTGGAGCCAACAAGCATTTATTAGCTCTTTACTATATGCCGGGCACTGTGGTAAGCACTGGGGATACAATTACAAGCAGAAAAAGAAAGCCAATCCCTGTCTTAAGGAACATACATTCTGGGAGGAGCACACAAAACGGAGTTGAAAAAGGAGGGGCAGGAAGGCACCGCACAAGGTCATGGTGTCCAAGTCCAGAAAATCAGAAGCAGATCAAGGAGGGAAATGAACGTTGCCTGCCCTGGGCCATTCCCCAAAATGGAGGCCCCGGGAGAAACTCATCAATGGGAAAAGAGGGCTGGCCTGCAGAGGGATGGCCCAGCTCTACCCCCATCTCCCACAGGAGCGCCAGCATCTTCCTCTCTGAGATTACCTTCCTTCCATTCTGTAGCCAGTCGTTTACACATCATCTGTCCCCATAAAATGTGAGTTCCTTGAGGACAAGAGACTAGTTTGGCCTTTCTTTGTACACCCAGTGCTCAGCCCAGCACCACCACAGAGGACGTGCTAATAGGTGCTCCTCGACTGACTGACCGACTTGTTCCAGTTCCTTCCTTGCTGCTGCTTTTAAAGACATTCACAAATCACAGAATGGGGTGACAGCTTTCTGAGGAAGTACGGTATTTACTTATCTGTGTAGATGTTATTCCCACCCCCAATAGAATATAAACTTCTTGAGGGCAAGAACTTTTCCTCTGTGTGTGTGTGTGTGTGTGTGTATGAGAGACAAATTTGGGTGTTTGTTTCTTCTTTTCTGTCTCCAACACTTAGCCTAACACCTGGCATATAGTAGGTGCTTAATAAATGCATGCTGAATAAACAGATAGATGAATGGAAGTAGCAATGGCACAGAGCCCTGGACACCTGAGTTCACATCCTGCCTCAGACATTTACTAGCTGTGTGCCCTTGGACAAGTCCTGTAACCTCAGTTTGCTCGTCTGTAATTGAGAGTGTCTTGCTTGAGTGTGTCTCTGGGTCCTTTCCAACTCTATAATGATGAAGCAGCTTTCCCCCTCAACAAAAGATACAGCCCTGCTCTTCAACGTTTCTTCTGATCCTTTCAATATGATCATTCTTAATTTACGTAAAACATACACATACCACTAACTTTGTTTCATCTTGGTTCCACGTTCAGGAGTTGAAGGAAACAGTGGGATTCTTGCACTTGAAAAATGCATGCTTGCCTGCCCAGTGGGAAGGCCTCGGCAGGAATTCTGACAGCATTACAGACCTCGTCAAGGTGCTGTACAGCCTCATTCATTCTCATCTAGAAAGGCAAAGAAGTCAACAGCAGCAGACAGGGTCACATCTCAAAAATGGTAAAGTGCCTTTAATGCTTTTCAGTAAATGTCTGGTGGCACAGTGGATAGAGTGCTGGCCCTAGAGTCAGGAGGACCTGAGTTCAAATCCAGCCTCAGACATTTACTAGTTGTGTGCCCTTGAGCAAGTCACTTCACCCTGTTCATCTCAGTTTCCTCATCTGTAAAATAAGCTGAAGAAGGAAATGGTAAACCTCTCCAGGATCTCTGCCAAGAAAACCCCAAAGGGGTTATGGAGAGTTGAACACAACTGAACCGACTCAAAATACTTATTTGTTGATTGGGACAGGGTAGTTGCTTGAATCATTTTAATCTCCTTACAGCTGAATGATTTGTAGAGAAAGCTCAAGTGTGGTCTTATGTAGATGTCAGTGCAACTCACCAGAGGTAGATGGTAAACGACTTAATTGAAGCCATCCATCTTTGTGAATAGTCAATCAGCCTCGATTGAGAACTATCCCTAGAGAAGCGTCTTCACATCCACATGGAATGCACTTTCAGAGGTTCCAGAAAATCTCCGCAATTTAAACCATTACCTGCTCAGAGTCGTGGACAGGCTGCAATTCCAGTGCAGCATGCTCTTGGCAAGCCCATCCAGAAAGCCCCGAGACTTCCTGTACTCAGCCAGTCAGCTCCAAAGCCTCAGGGGGCTCGTGGAGACCCAGATTCTTTCCGTGGCACAGGGCCCATGCACGTAAGAGGATCCTTCCTGCCTCTCTTTCCTCCCCTCCTCCTGCTGCATCATTAAATGCAAGACTCTTGCCCTCAATCTCTTCTCTTCAGTGATACCACGAGTTTCCCTATGGTGGACTCAGAGGAAGAGAAGCCTGCCATCTCGAACTACCTGCCAACATGGTCCATCTCCATCTGTTGGCTCCTTCTGGGTGCTACAAGCCTCGTCTCTGCCTTTTTCACAGCTCTTTCTAGCCTAAACCTGAACAAAGATCAAGCAACCAGCTGGGTCATTTCAATGATATTGTCAGTCCTCCAAAATATCTTCATAATCCAGCCAGTGAAAGTAAGTGGGACTTTAATAAAAATGAGAATATGACTGAAATAAATTTCTAGTTTCAGTGATTTCAAACTACCAAGGAAGTATTTTATAAAACTAGACAAAAAATAATGGCAAAAAGGCATTTGGCAGAATAGAGCACTAGAATAGGAAGGGTTTTTAACCTCAGTTTTCTTTGTAATTTTGAGTGTTTAATTTTATGAATTTCAAAACATTATTCTGAGAAGGGATCCATAGGTTTTACCTGATTGCTGTAGAGGTCCATAACACAAAAACAGTTAAAAACTCCTGCTCTGGTATAATGGACAGAGAGCTGACCTTGGAGTTAGGATGACCTGGGTTCAAGGGAAATAATGAAAAACAGCAGAAAAATGAAGAGAGCAGAGAATTACTAAACCTAAAACTATATAATAACTACAATTTAGCCACTATTCGGTAGTGGTTAGAAACAGAATAAGTGAGCAGTGGAATAGACTCGCTAAGCAGAAAACAAAAGCAATTTAACAAAAAGTAGTTCAGTGTTTGATAAATCCAAGAACACAGATTATAAGGGAAAGAGCTCCTATGTTACAAGAACCACTGGGAAAACTGGAAACCAATTTGGAAGAAATTAGGTTTAGACTAGCATCATACTACAAAAACTCTCCAAATAGACATTTGACATGAATACCAAAAGTTACATTAAAAAAAAAGAAAAAGAATATGGGGCAGCTAGGTGGCACAGTGAATACAGCTCTACACTTAACACTTACTAGCTGTGTGACCTTGGGCAAGTCACTTAACCCTGATTGCCTCACCAAAAAGCAAATAAATAAATGAATGAATGAATGAATGAATGAATGAATAAATAAATAAGGATAGAAAGAAGTACCTGTCATAATTATAGATAGGGGAGAATTGTTAACCAAACAAGAAATAGAGGTGAGAATTAAAAACAACTGAATTAAGAAATTTTTACTCTAACAAAATCAGTGCAGATAGAAAAAGATCTTTTTATCACTATCACTGATAAAAGTCTGATATACAAGATATACAAGCCTAAGACCAATTCTCTAATAGGTAAGTTGTCAAAGGATATGAATAGTTTCCACAAGAGGAGAACTGCAAATTATCAATTCAATATGAAAACATGCTCCAAATCACTAATAAGAGAAATACAAATTAAGACAGCACTGAGGTTTCCCCTCACATCTTACGAAGATCTTTTTAAAGGACTGTTTTTGAAAGTACCTATAGTGTAATGGAGAGAGAGCTGACCTCAAAGTCAAGTCAACAAATATTTATTAAACATCTACTATATGACAGGCACTATGTTAAGCACTGGGTATAAAAAGAAAGGGTGGGAAAAAAAGTCCCTGCCTCAAGGAGCTCACAGTTTAATGAGGGAAACAAAGTGCAAACAATCTGGGTTCTAGTCTTGACTCTGATATATACTGGCTGCGTGACCCTGGACAGGTCACTTGGACTCTTACAGCATTAGACAACGAGATTACAAGTTGCAGGGAAGGTGTCTACTTGTACTGATAGGAGTTTCCTCATCAGGATTTCTGTATACCAGTGGAAACCACAATCTAAATGACAAAACTGCTAAATAGCATAAATCTACAGCCCTACACCTCCAAAGGTGCCTGGTTATTTGCTATAGTAGTACATTAACATTGGCAATTGAAGAGGAAAAAAAAAGCTGCCAAAAATGCAAATGTGCTGGACCAATTAAACTTTGGGCTTCTCTTCTTGCCAAATGATTTTCCCTCCATGTTCAGTAGCTGGGTTCCAGTCCTAATTCTTTTTCTAACTAGCTGTGTAAGTTCGGGAACATCCTCTTAACCCTGTTGTGGGCTTCAGTTTCCCTTCCTATTTACTGAGACAAAGGAACTAGGTGATCTCTAAGTTACTTTCTAACTAGGAGTAAAGACTTCCTACCATGTTCTATTCCATGCTGGATTTTTAATTCTTGACATTTTAAAAAATTCACTAACAGAGTCCCTCCAAAGATAAACTAGAGAATGAGACAAGCTACCCACTTCCCTTCCAATATTGCAAGATCTATTCATCATGCTCTAGGGTTGTTCATAAAGTAGGGTGTAAGATAACACTCACTTTACTCATTGGACACATCTAAGTACCTGTAATAGTAGTATTGAACTGTATATTGGTAATTTTACAATGACAATGGAATCAGACGGTTCTGAGTTTGACACCAATAAATATAACGGAAATAACGGTATTGAAATCCATTCATCAAACCAATTATCCTGCCAACCAAAAAAAGCCAACCTCCTGCCCGCTCTCAGGTCCTACAGTACGTGTTCAACAAGAAATCTCTTAGTCTCTTGGGTGGGCGATGATACTCACTCTGTTCTTGCTGCTGCTGACAAGGATATCATGGCCCAACAAAGAGTAGGAACATCAGATGAGGAGGATCTTGGCTCTCCTGGGCAATGCCTTCAAGGCCGACCTTGTGCAGGAAGCTTTTCCCATTTTCCTCAGCTTTAGGGTCTTCCCTCTGAGAAGACCCCCAATTTGTCTTGCACGTATCCTGTTTGTACCTAGTTATATGGTGCCTCCCCATTAGACCGTAAGCTTCCTGAGGAGAGGGTTTGTCTTTTGCCTTTCTTTGTATCCCCAGTGCTTAGTAGGGTCCTTGATATGTGTTATAGCTCTTTAGTCATTTTCAATCATGTCCAACTCCTTGTGACCCCATTTGGGCTCTTCTTGGCAAAGATACTGGAGTGGTTTGCCATTTCTTTCTCCAGCTCATTTTACAGATGAGAAAACGGAAGCAAATAAGGTTAAGTGACTTGCCCAGGGTCACACAGCTGCTAAGTGTCTGAGGCTCGATTTGATCTCAGGAAGATGAGTCTTCCCGACTCCAGGCCTGGTGTTCTATGCACTATGGCACCACCTAGCTGCTCCTGCTTATCTGTTAGGTGCTTAATGAATGCTTGTTGACTGACCATTGAATTCAGATGGGGAGACCTCTAGCATGCCTTATTGAATCAAACCGATTGTCATGTTGTCATCTTATCTCAGTACCTAGCAACGTACCTCCAACCTAGCATGATTTAACAAATGCATGCGGTTGGGTTGGGTTGGGTTGGATTCACACATTTAGGGAGCCTGCCTCTCTGGTCTAGTCTTCCTGTGTCTGAGGCTACATTGATCAGTATTTCGCTAAAGCACAATGTTTCTTTTGCTACCATCCATTTTTTTGTTTTGTTTTTTGTTTTTGACAGCAAAATGTCCCTCCTTGTCACCACCTGGCTCGAGAGATGAGAACAACCCTATCTATAGAGTCCCTCCTGTGAAGAGCCCAGTTAAAGCTCCAGAAAGAACCATGAAAGAGAAACAACTGTTCCAAATGGCGAGAGAAATGTTTGGTACGAAAAAGAACATGAAAGCATGTTGAGCCAGCAGACTGCTTCCAGAGCAAATACAGGGGAAGAAGGCATTTGTCCACCAAAAGTTTATTTCTAGGTTTCAGAGAGCAGTGTTGTCAAATGCAAAGACTTAAGAATCAAGAAGGAAGGGACTCACGTTTAAATCCCAGCTTTGCTAATTTCTTGGACAAAAACTTAATTTTCCCTACATGAATGACAGAAATAATGATAAATCCTACTTATCTCACAAAGTTGCTAGGAAGAAAAAGGAATTACTTATAAAAGCACTTGGAAAAGTTGTGGTTTTTTTTAAAAGACACTCAAAAAGGACAAGGTGTTATGTTTATGATTTCCTTCCACTGTTATCAATGCCGCTGAAAATACATCCGAAAAGACAAGTGTTACTCTGCTTTGTGAACACAGACATTATACATACACACATATAACAGACTCAACAATGGTGCTGATGTGAGTGAGATGGGATATGTTTTACCTCTTTGGTGGGGGGGGGGAATATTGTCTAGTGGAAAATAGGAAAATAAATAGTCAGGGTGAAAATCCTAGCAGAGAATTTCAATTTCTTGGAGGAAGTACAGCTTACTAATTTGCTAGGAAACCAAGCACTCTGTTTTACTGTATCATTGCTGCCTCTTAATCACTCATCTGATTTTTTCTATCCAACAGTACAAATCCTCCTCCTTATAATGGTGATGATTTCCACTCATTCAGTAAGGAATCACAACAGGTTTTACCTCAATCAAGCCATCCAGAAGAGAATTAATAACTACTTTGAAGAGATCAAATGTATTAAAGACTTCTATCGATGGACTGACAACACTCTAATTCCTAACCTGTATGGGGAATACAGAGGTAAGAGTCTCCTGGAGAGGACCATGCACTCCGTATGCCCAACATCTAGCATGGTACCTGGCACAAGGTAGGTGCTGAACACTGAGTGATTAATTAATGTTGTTAATTCTCAAAAGTTCCCCACTTTTTTCCTTTTAATTTTCATTGGTAATTTTTAGTTTTATATCACCTTCACTGCTAACTATACTTCCTTTCTTCTCTCAGAAAACCATCCCTTATTTCAAGGGATAAAAAGAGAGAAAGGGGGAGGGGGAGGAAATGTTTTATCAAAACGAGACCATCCACTAAGTTTGCGCACTGTGCCACATCGTCTCCCATTTCTGCAAAGTAAGGAGGCACGTTGTCTCCACTCTTCCTAGGGACCAAGCTTGCTGATAGTTACAGATTTCTATCTCATTGATCTCCACATATACACTGGTGTGGTTGTAGCCATTTTGTATACTGTTTTTCTGGCTGATTACTTCCCTTTGTAACAGTTCACATATCTCCTAAGCTGCTCTGTATTATTCAGTCATCATTCCTTATAGAACAGTAATGTGCCATTATGTTCATATTCCACAATTTGTTTAGCCATTCCCCAGTTAAAGGACACCTACTTTGTTTCCAGTTCTTCCTAGAATAAATGTGGTTATATTTTGGTGTATCAATAGGGCCTTCTCCCTTTGACTTTCTTGAGGCATATAGCCTGGCAGGGAATCTCTGGATCAAAGAGCATGGGCATTTTAGTCACTTCCTTAAAACAATTCCAAACTGCTTTCTAGAATGGTTGTACCAATTATAAATCTACCAATAATGTACCAATAATGCTTGTCTTTTTACAACTCCTCCAACATTTACCATTCCCATCTTTATCAGTATGGCAGACATAAGGTAAAACTTCAGACCTTTTTTGATTTGCATTTATTACAGTGATTATTATATTATACTTATATTATTATTACAGTATAATATGATTATACGTTATAGTGAATTGGATAAACCATGCATTTAAAAAATAGTTTGCAATTCTTCTGAGGACAGTGTATTCATATCCCTTTACCACTTAATCCATTGGGGAATGTCTCTTGGTCATACAGTTGTGCTATTTTCTTATATATCTTTGTCATCAGGAAACTATCAAAGCTGTTTGAGGCAAAGATTTCCCCCCTTCAATTAACAACTTCCCTTCTCAGTCTAATTCGATTGATTAGATTATATAAAAGCTTTTTGACTTCATGTAATCTCAATAATCTTTTGTTATCACCTCTATTCCTAATTTGATTAAGAATTCTCCCCTTAGCCATAGCTATGAAAGCCACTTAACCTCTCTTCTATTTTATAAAGGTATGGCCTTTAATATTCAGATCAAATATCCATTTTGAGCTTATTATAGTACATGGTATAAGATATTAGTCTATAACTAATTTCAGTCAAACTGCTTTCCAGTTTTTCCAGCAGTTCTTGGCAAAGGAGGAGTTCTACTACAAGTAATTTATGTACTAGTTTATGGAATAGCACCCGCAGCAATATTATAATTGAAGTTGTTAAGGGTCAGCTGTTTCAGGTCAGGCTTCCCAGAGTGACTGCATCTTGCTGGAGTCATTAGAGTTTCAAGATTTTGTCCCAGGTTTCCTTGAGTTTAACCAAACCCTTTATAGCTACAATTTAAGCCCATTTCTTCTGCCATGAATATCTATTAAGGTGGTAGACTGATCTACACCTTACCGATTGAAACCTCTGATATACTGTAATTCAACAAATGGGGGCAGCTAGGTGGCACAATGAATAGAGCACTGGGCCTGGAGTCAGCAAGACTCATCTCACTAAGTTCAAATCTGGCTTTAGACACTAGCTGTGTGACCCTAAGCAAATCACTTCACCCTGCTTGCCTCAGTTTCCTCATCTGTAAAATGAGCTGGAGAAGGAAACAGCAAACCACTCCAGTATCTTTGCCAAGAAAACCCCAAATTGGGGCAGCTGGTGGCGCAGTGGATAGAGCACCGACCCTGGAGTGAGGAGGACCTGAGTTCAAATCTGGTCTCAAATCAGACACTTAAAACATACTAGCCGAGTGACTGTGGGCAAGTCACTAAACCCCAATTGCCTCACCAAAAAAAGGAATATTTCCTCTTGGGGGCAGCTAGGTGGCGCAGTGGATTGAGCACCGGCCCTGGAATCAGGAGGACCTGAGTTCAAATCCGGCCTCAGTCACATAATACTTACCAGCTGTGTGACACTGGGCAAGTTGCTTAACCCCAACTGCCTCACCCCCCCCCAAAAAAAGCAAAAAAACCAAAACAAAAACCCCAAATGGGGTCACAAAGAATCAGACACAACTGAAAATGACTGAACAATTCAACAAATATTTATTAAGCTATGCGCAAAGCATTATTACTTGAAGACTGACAAGTTGTCCTTTAACCATCTCTTTTGTAATCTAAACATTCTAAACTAAGTAACCATCAACAAAAAATTCAAATACAGAAACAAAATTTTTAAAATGATCATCTATAAATGCTAACACTTACTTTTTTTGCTAAATGTGTAATTTTTAAACAAACAATAAAAACATCCTCTTTGTATATACAGGGTTGTCACTGTTAATTTGTTACATAACTGCAGCCACTGGTGATACACTGTTCACATTCTTCTTCAGTCTATCACTTTTTACATCTTCTCACATTTCTTTTTCTTCATATTTGCCATTATGGTGCAATATTTGGTCACATTCACACTTTCAGACATTTTTCAATCATTGGACACATGAATTGTTATTAGTTTTGTGCTATTACAAATAAAGTCATAATTTTGTATAGATTAATTTCTTTATAAAATTTTAATGAAATCTTTAGGCCTTTATGGAGCAAGTCCCATTACTTTAGGTTTTCCAGTAAATTGTCTAGTGCAAGGGTGAGGAACCTGCAGCCTCGAGGCCACACATGTCCTTCTAGGTCCTTGGGTGTGACCTCTTGACCAACTCTAAACTTCACTGAACAAATCCCCTCAATAAAAGGATTTGTTCTGCAAAATTTGGACTTAGTCAAAAGGCCACAGCCATGGACCTAGAAGGCCACATGTGGCCTCCAGGCTGAAAGGTTCCCCACTCCTGGCCTAGTACAATCTTCTCTCACTTAGCTAGATGCTTTAATAATTTTTTTCTCCCTCCTAGGCTTTATTGCTGAAGGAAATTCCTTCCTTATAATAAGGCAGTGTCCGAATTCACCAGATCCGTATTCCTGATACTGTATCCTTTCCAAAAAGAATTTCTCCTAGTGAACAAGTAAAGCCCTATTATCAGAATCAGCAGGAGGATCAGAAGAATTATGGAGTTAACTGGGCTCCCCTTGATCTGAAGAGCACAAATCAAGACAGCATTTGGTGTTATCAGAGCGAGGAAGCCTTGGGTGATACCCTATCCAAGGACAGTGTGCAGTGTACTCAGGAGGAGACTACATTGTTGACCTTGGGAACAGCTCTGAAGATGCTAACAGGTGAGCAAACCTAAACTCTGAGCAAAAGGCTCTGAGATATGGCTTTCTATCCACTCTTGAGGTTAGCCATTTGAGAGCCATCAAAATATACTATAAATTCAGTTTGACAGATACCACATCTATTTACTGTGCTACTAGCATTTCAGGGGCCATTTTTCTTTTTAAAGGAAATTTGCTGTTTAGATACAAAGTTCCAGGTTTTGTCTCAATCTACAGATACGTTCTGGTTTGGGCAAAAATCCATTCCATCACTGTTCCAGTAAGAGACTTTCTTTTTCACTCACAGGCACAACAGTGCTCAAGCATAACTCAAATTTGGCCAGACTCTGTTAAATGTCATTTAAGCAAGATTTTCTTCATGAGCACTGTTTACCCCAAAACTACATGCTAAAATTATCTCACACCCAAGAAAATAGTTTGGTGTGCATCTACTGAAGGCTTCAATCGTCATGTGAAAAAATACTAGCTTTGACATCAGAGGAACTGGGTTCAAGTTCTGACTCTGACCTTAGACAAGTCACTTAAACTCTAATCTGTTTCTTTCCCTACAAGAGTTGCACTAGATGACCCTCTATGAAACTACTAGTGTCATGACTTAACATTTAAATATTTAATTTTCTTTAAACTTACAAGAATAGCTAATTACCCAAATAATGATCCTGAACCTGACCCATAAAGATTAAACAGATCAGTGCTTCAACTGAAAACTAAGACGCCCATATCAGCAACCAACCAGCGCAGTACATAAAAATTTCTTCGAAATAAGTTATTGAAATGTTCAGTTGTATTATGTTGCAGGCCACCCAGGTGTTTAATGCTGGGAATTTTTCTTTTGTGAGTTTACCAACTTCACATTCCAATGTGCTGTTTTTATGCCAACACCAACAGAAATATTAGCATTTGTAATCAAACACAAATTTCACAAAATACTGTTCACTCAAAAGGGAGAAGACACCAAAAAACTCTAGTCTCATGTTTTGTGGTTAAAAAAACAGATATTGGGATTTTTCTCCTTGGAGTTGGGTAATTTGCCCCTTTTCCCCCTCTGCCTCGCCCTCCCCTAGAACTCTTCAGCACCTGAAGCAGAGCCACTGGCTAGATAGCCGCACCAGAAGCCTCTTTGTGGCATTTGGTGTCTATAACGCTAATGTGAACCTCTTCTGCGTGGTGACCCTGATCCTGGAGTCCACTGGTGTGGGTAAGAGCACCTCTACTCTCCCAGCCTTTCCACAGCCCCTGATGGGCAAAGGGGAGACCCGTTTTACCTTTTTTTTTTTCATTCTAAATAAAGAGTATTTCTCTTGTTGAAAACATTTTAATTTCAAAACCCTATTTGGGGGGGCCGCTAGGAGGCGCAGTGGATAGAGCACCGGCCCTGGAATCAGGAGGACCTGAGTTCAAATCCTGCATCAGACACATAACACTTACTAGCTGTGTGACCCTGGGCAAGTCACTTAACCCCACAGCCTAGCATAACAAACCAACCAACCCCATTTGGGTACAGGGCTTCAAGCTTGTATAAATCCCCGAGGCTTCTTGGTAGCAGGCCAACTAAAGCATCATCCCTTTCTTCCTTCTCAAGGGCCCACTTGCTCCCTTCTAGCTTCTGATCAAGGTTTCTTTCTTTTTTGGTGGAATAAGAATGGTCTCAAAGCTTCTTGTCAGCCCTCCTATCCTGAAGCAAACACACAATTCTTTTAACATTTTCTAAAGGTTTGTTACAGTGTGTTTGACTCTGGGACTGCATTGGGGGTTTTCTTGGCAAAGATAGTGGAGTGGTTTGCCATTTCCTTCTCCAGCTCATTTTACAAATGAGGAAACTGAGGCATGCAGGGTGAAGTGACTTGCCCAGGGTAACACAGTACGTGTCTGAGGCCACATATGAACTCAGCAAGATGAGTTTTCCTGATTCTAGATTCAGCACTTTATGCACTATGGCACCCCTAGCAGTCCCAAAGGCTTTATTACCAGTAAAGGAAAAACACATGGGAGGATGGGAGAGATGTTAAAAATAACAGAGAGAGTAAACTTATAAAGTCACAAAAAGTTGTCAAAATCTCACTGTAATGGTTATTTCATGTGTTGTAAGCCTGAACCTGGGGTCAGAGAAACTTAGATTTAAATCCCAAATCAGGTATTTACTAAATTGCGACCATCACCTCTTAGGACCTCAGTTTATTCCTGTTCCTCCCAGTGCCTTCCCCCAAAACTATGTCTTCTGTCTTTCCACCCACTCATCTCTCTATAGCTAGCATCTCCCTCAGCTCAAAAATTCCTTAAAGGCAAAGACCATTTTGCTTTTCTCTCCATGTCCCCAACACTTAATATGGTGCTTGGAACATAGTTAAGTGCTTAATAAATGCTTGTTAATTAGCTCAAAATGGGAATACTACTTCTACTATCCATTTCACAGGGTAGTTTTAAGGAATACATTTGGTCAGCCTTCAAGAACTATATATATTATCATTGGAAGTAAACAGAAATTGGCTTGATCTGTCTCAGCTCTGCCACTACATCTCCTGTGTTCTAAACCTTCTATCCACTCTTTGTACTGGGACCTTTAGGCAACCAAAATCTTCACTGAGACAGATGCTCCATCCTAGGCTGTACCCCATGGTCCCTATTAAGAGACTGTATGGGTAAGGAAACGGTGAACACTGGGGCTTACAGGAGGTCTTACAGATACACAAAGGGCTCGAGTGAGTCATCCACATCTCACAGGCAATTCCAAACTATAGCCACTGTCTTCTAACTTCCAAGTAGAAAAATCTGCTTAGATCATTTCTGACAGAGTCCTGTTCCCAGAAGCTGTATGTTACATTTGTAACACATATCAGTGTTAGGAGGTTCCACTTTTCACTTTCATTAGAAACAGGTAAGAGACAGATTTCATTTGCTATTTAAGAAATACGGCACCCAGCCTTCTTAGGTTGGTTGGTAGTCTTAATAATGGCACCAAATCAACCAACAAGAATTTATTGGCTACTCTGAGGCAGGCACTTAGGAATAAAATCAAGACTTTGTATGATACCCCTCCTTGATAATGTACTATAAATTCAAGTTGACTCAAAAAACTCAAGCTCAAAACATCAGAATTTATCTGCATCCTCCTTGAACTGCTACTGCTCTTAGAATGTATCGTCTCTCAAGATAACAAGGTCCACATGCTTATTATTCACCATGGAAAGTAGGATTTCCTTTGGTTGATCCTAACATGTACTTGTGTTTGAAGAGGCACCCCCTGTGCCAGCATTATGGGATCTGTTGAACAAGTATATGTTCACAAGCCCTTTCATGACTTTATAGATCTGTCTCATCCCCATTTTTGTAGACTGAAGAGTTCTAATATTTTTATCCTGATCTCATATGGAAATAAGGCTTCAGATGTTTTTCATAGGGATAGTGACATGAATTTTTATACATTACTCTTCTTACAGCACAAAATAAAAGTGGACAACTATACACTCATTTTACACACTTTTATTAAAGACTTGTTTTCTTAGGGAGCAAAAAATATATTTCAATTCTTTAAAAGACTTCAAACATATACAAGTTTCACTTTTTACACATCAGTCTTTACACGCTTCTATTTACCACACTATCCTTTCTATTTTCTCTTACACTTCACACTTCAGCACTGCAACATGAGTCAGAGAGATTTTTTCCTGCCTTTTCTTTTTTAACTTATCCAGCTTCCATCTTTCTTTCTAGTGAGAAAGGGTTCTTTGACTCATTTTCCTTAATAGCTGTGATTTCCCTTCTGTAGTGATCAGAGAAAACAACCCACTGCACAAATACTAGGAACACTTTTTACTTTTTCCCCTTTATGTTTACACATTCTTCCCTTCTTTTTAAAGTCATTGGGACCAAGTATATTTGTTTGATGAAAGTATGTACTGAGCAAGGTGAGTTCATCAAACTGGGACTGAAGGGGGCAGCAAGGGCTGGCTAGGGGACGGTCTGAATAGTTGGGAGTCCAGGGGGAAAGCTGGACTCTTCTCCCAAAACCTATTGTATTCTTTCTAGGGGCTTTCTTCAGTTCTATCAACGTGAACACTTTACAGATCATTCAGATGCCCAGAAGTTTCCATCTGGTTCATTGCCTCAAAAGTTATCTACTTTGTGCTACTCTTTTATCACATCTTCACACAGGTAAAGTTGGGATCGATCTGCTCTAGAGTACAAGGTCAGCCATTTAACACTATTGACATGAAGTAAGCGCTCCTTACTTGTGCTGCTAGATACAAGACTTGGGATTCCTCTCTGCAATGAAAGTACTTTGCCAAGACTCTGCTGAGGGCTAATTCAATTTTCTGGCTGGTATGCTATTAATACAAAGTGGTGTTTTCCCTGTGAGGGGAAATGAGACAATAGAGAATGTGTCACAATCAGGCATACTTTAAAAAAAAATTTTCCAAATAATTATTTTAAAATCTAACCAAGTTTTAGATTCTCCAAAAAGAGGCTGTTCAAATTCAAGTTTCTTATTCACTTGGAATCGGCTTTGAATGGCTGCAGAACAGAGCAAGAATAAAATCATATTACATTTCAATCTTTACTGGAGCAAAATCTTCTAAGACTAAACCTTCCTCATAAGCAGTAGTAACCACTGTACTTATGTTTAGGGGAACCGGCTGAAACAGCAAGGATGGAAATACTTCACCAAGAAAAGCAATGCCCTGGACACCAGCATAATCCTCATAAGCTTTATAATGCTGGCACTCCAGCTGAAGTGTTTTTTCTTGTATAAAAGAGATATGGCGCAATACCATCATAATAAAAGCAGGTGAGCAAGCAGTCCTGGTATAGGACAGCCCCCAAAATACAGAGTGCCCAGGCTTCTGCCCCAGCTTATGGCAAAGATGAGTAGCCTTTGCAAGAGATAAAGACCTTCAGTAGGAAAGCAAACTCAGCCAAAACATCTTCCTTCTTCTCTAGCCTTCCATATATTTCTGTGCCTATCACAGCTAAAAACTAAATTTGGGCCAATATCCACAACAGATAACAATTAGAAAATCACAATATTGCTTACATTTCTTACCATGCATTCATCTGAATTATTCTTTCTCACGATGCTTATCGTGTTTCACTAAGATTTATTAAGCACAATGTGCTAGGCCCTTGGCATACAAAGACAAAAATGAAAACAGCCCCTGCCCTCAGGGAGCTTACTTTATTCACTACTTTCATACAGTCAAGTTTGTACTCAAAGAATAAGGTTTAACAATGGAACTATATCCTACACAACAGAATCACAAAACCTAATTAAATGAATTAATGGTTTTCTTGTTCTCAGCATTAGCCAGTTAAAAGCATTTTGACCTGATGACTTAAATGTTTGTGCACATACACCTGCAGTGTGGGAAACATCCTGCCTAAACAAAACACCAACGTGATGGGAAGTGTCTTGCCTTGAGCTCGGCTGGGGTTCAGGGAACTTTGTATGGCCCCTTTCCTCCTGCAGTAAGCACTCCATTCCCCAAAGGGCCACTGAGGCAGCTGCCTTGGCCGCCTCTTTGCACAGAATCTTATGACGAGACGTCTCCTATTACGGTATGGACATGTAAATGAGTTGTTTTTTAAATAAACGGCTGTGAAGAAACATCCAAACACTTAAGGAGTAACATCTATATTAAGATCTGACAGGGGTGTTCTTGGGTCCAGTATATGGCAGAAGGGCAGAACCTTACATAACAGAAAACACTGGCTATATTCTCATCGACCTTGTTAATTACTGCTAAACAGCACACACACATCACACACTTCTGTATATGTGAAGCCTTTTCTGTTAGCCCAGATGTTACAATACACAATAATCTGGCAAAATTACTACCTCTTGCTAACCTTCTTTGGAGACCAGACCTCACACTAGGCAAGTCAAGTAGGTATTTAGGTATCACTATATGATCACAGATTTGGAACTGCGAGGACACTCAAAGGACATCAAGTCCAACTTCTAAATTTTACCTTTTAGGAAACTGGGGCCAACAGGTTCCCTGACCCACAGATTCCACAAAAACAAATATACAGAAGGTTAAGGAAGGGGAAAAGTGGGTGAGGGAAGAAAAGTGGAATAAGACTTCTCTACACAAAAATATCTTACACCTAAGAAAACTTTTTTAGCAGGCACCTCATTCCCCACAGAAATCTGTCTTCTGTGTCTCTACTGCTGTCACTGCTGAACCTCCCAATCCCAGGTTTGGTTGTCATTGGCCAGGGATTGCGTTAGGACCAGGGCACTAGACAGAGTTCAGGCTCTCATGATGACATCCCATGGGGAAAGGTCTCTCCCACTGAGATGAGATTTTGCTCATGTTCACAAGAGATGGGGCTGGCCTGATACCTAAATTCAGAGTAGAGACTAGCCTTGGGACTGTATCCAACACGTCTTCCCCTCCACATCCAATGACGACCACCCATTCACCCCCAAGGTCAAGTTCCCACTAAATTTTATTTTATTCAGCCACCACAGGAAAACTTGGCAATATAAAGACTTGCACATCAAGTTGGCCAAACTTACACAAATTTATTGCCAAGGAAATGGAAGTGTTGATTCATAGTGGTGACGACTAACGGCCAGACTTCCTTGATAGATCTATCAGCTTCCACGAAGTTGTCCAAGTGACCTGTGCTCTCATTTACCTCCTCGGCTTCCTGGTCTTGCTGACAACCACCGGGCTCTGAAGCCTGCTACAGCTCAATCCCAGACTCCAGACTATCAGCACAACACTGAAGAGAGCTCGGGATGAAGTGGCTGGCTTCTTGCTGATCATTCTGATCCTGCTGACAAGCCACTCCATCGCTGTAAGCCACTGATATGTTTCCCTCCTGACACGCTGACAAGAGTGTAACCTTGGGCAAACAGTGCCTAAAACCCTTAAGTCAAAGATGTCAGGATGGCATGGTAGGGAAAGTACTCAACTTAGAATCACAAGACCAGGTTTCAGCCAAAGCTGTCACTAACTAGCACTATTTTCACTTTACTTTCCTCCACATTAATTTTCTCACCTGTAAAATGGAGAAAATCACACCTACGGCACTAAGATACCAAGGATCAAGGTTAATGGATATGAGAGTGCTGTGCAAGGTATTAAGTGCTATTGAGTACAAGGGATTCATGGGGTCGTACTGTGGGACCTAGAGCTGAAAAGGACCTCGGGAGCCTTCTGGTCCAGCCCCACATTTTTCAGATGAGGAAACTGAGGCCCAGAGAGGGTTAGTATTTACCCAAAGTCAACAACACTGGAGGTAGGTTTGAAAGGAGGTCCTCCAACTCCAGAGTAAGTGACCTAGGCACATTTTTGAACAGCCTTTCATAACAAGCACCCTGGAAGCCTCGAGGTGACAAAGTAGATGTCTATCAGGAGGCCTAGGGTCAGGAAAACCCAAGGTCAAATGTGGTCTCAGGTCATTACTAGTTGTTTGACCCCAGGCCAGTCACTGACCCTCAGTCAGCCTCAGTTCTTCCAAATGTAAAACAGGAATGACAGCAGCACCTACTTCACAGGGTTATTCTAAAGAGCTTACAAAGTGCTTACAACAGTGCCTGGCACATAGCAGTTGCTACATAGACATACACTATCATCATTATTAAGGCTCTCATACTTGTGTGATTCAGGCAAGTTTCCTCAACAGTAAAGTGAAGGGGCTGGAGCAGATGGCCTAAATCTAAGCTGCTATGACCATCTCCCACAGCTGGTCCTCCAAGTGCACAGAAATTGCCACTTGAGGGCCACTCCTGCTCTCACTGGCTTTTTCCCTTACACAGTTCAACATTCTTTTTGGATGGAGCATCTCTGACTACAGAACCTTTTTCAACTCAGCTGTAACTATTGTTGGTCTTCTGATGGGGATCTCTGATTACCACAAGGTGAGAACCCTTGCTATATAATCCCTAAATCCATTTGGTTTAATACATGCCTCTAACGAGGAGCTCCCAATGGAGAGACTTCCCTTAAGCCTGGGATGGGAAACTGAGATCCTCTGCTATTGCTTCTTATAGTGCTCACAATGGCCAGATCCTAAGTGGTTGGTTATTCCTTTTAGAAATCTTTACTCTTACAGGACCCATTTTTACCTGTTACTTTTCGTCCTTGTCACAATTAGTTCTCAAAGGACATTGTTCTCAAACTGAGACACAAACCTAAATCCCATGTTCATTAACCACCTAGCAAAGGTGACACTAAGGAGTTGAGTCCTTTCTCAATGTCTCTTTGAAAACGTGCAACTTTTTTTAGGAAAAACCTAAAAATTATCAAGAGGCACAAGAGTACCATTAAACACAACTCTAGGAAGAACTGCAGTATTTCTTTATTGTCATTGGCAAATCCTCACTTCAGGGAAACATGAATTATCTTCAGGAAAGGTGAAAAGCCAAACACTTGTGTTTCTTATACACTGTTAAGAAACTAAATTAAAGATTAAAGTTCAATTCAAATTAGAGAAACCCCTTTAACTCTCAGAGTATAAACATTCAAGACACTGTTAGAAGGTATAAGGATGACATACATCTTTGATCTCGGAAGATGGCATCACCTCAAAATCCAGGGAGACGTCTAGCTGCTAGAATGCAGCTGCCTCTGGGAATGTTTCAGATCTCTCAAACTCTTAAGCAATTCGATAAGAACGGGGATTTTGCCACATTCATATTGTCCTGACATCTGTTTCTGGCTCTTTCAAATTCATTTTTAAATCCTTTAGAACTTTGCAACTTGAAGGGGAAATAAGACTAACGATCATTTGTAAATCTCCTTAGCTAGAGATACACATAAAATCCTACTACAACTAACTGCGCCTTTGGCTGTCCTGGACCTTTGCTGTAACCAATGCTTTTGAAAAAACACTGGGATTTGCTCTGCAGTCTAATGGCATTTTTAATACCCTAGCAACCTTAGAAAAAGCAGTAGAGAAGTAGTATTCAATAGGCCAAAAAGCAAGGGAAAACAGCACCTCCATGGTCAAAGGAAGTGGAATTAAATAAAGAGAAGAATGCTATGCATGTGGCTCTAGTCAGCTTCTGAATCAGAGAAACGGATGATTTCAATCCTGAAAACTGAAGAATGACACAGAACCAAGTATTTTTCTGTGAGAAGGAAAACAATTCCAGAAGGAAGTAAAAGAACCATGCTAAGATAAAAGGCTATACAGTCATCCTTTGGAAACCTGTTACATTTTTATTTAAGTTATAGGTTTCTGGGTGTGTTATGGACAGTTTTATTTCTAGTGTTTATGTATTTATTAAAAGTGATCCTATTATTCTTCAAAAATGAACATGTATATGCTCTCCCAGAGAGTTTGGATACATTTTTTCTAAGGTCACCTACATAAAAAAAGGGAAGCTAAGTAATTTACAGTTTTATTATAATTCATCCATTCCTTTATGTTAAATAAAGCATATAATGGCATTACACCCTTAAATAAATCAACCATTGTACTCTAACACCTTCCAGTAATAATAATTCTTCTTTTCTAAACTTACAGATGCTTTTCACGAATGTTTTCTGGAACCAGAAGTAAAATTCCATCAGTATTTACACATATTGCTCAGGGCTTGCTTCTATTACCTTTCTAGGTTGTCAACTTAGACCCAGTCCTGGGCTCCTTTCTGATCATCACCAGTGTCATTTTGTTAGTGCTTGTGATCATTAACCTTTTCGCTTCTGCAATTATGCTGACCTTCTGCAAGGAGAGAAAGTCCGTCATGGTAGGTAACTCCCCAGTTCAGTGAGTTAAGCATCAGCTGTATGAAGACTCAGCGTCACTAAAGCAAAGAACGAATGCAGCATACTTAGCACCACCATCCTCCTTTACTATTCTACGGAGAGTTCGATGAACCACTTTCCTATTTGCAGAATGACACTAAATTCTATGTTCTTCATATAGTCCCTAGCACATTGCTGGCATTCAACATTAAATAACAGTAGTAATTATCTTTCTGGTAACAAATTAAGATAACAGTTCTGCATCTGCACTGTCCCTTTTGCTCTGCCTCTAGCAACTGTTTCAAGTTTTGTCTCACTTTGACCCTCCTTTCCTCCACAACTAGGCACAGAAAGAAGCAACACTTGCAGAAATTCTGCTGCAAAAACTCTCCAACTTGTTAGGAATACGGAGGCCTCAAAAGGCAGCACTGCCAGAGCCAACAGAAGCAGGCACCAATATGGAAGCTTCGGAGAATGAACCAGCCTGACTTTCTCATTCCCTATTCTTGGCTTTCCTATCAGGGCTGATGAATATTAAACATCCCAGTGGTATTTATTTTTGCATGGCATGCACGGCCTGGGGAATGCCAGATGCATGTACCTATTCTTATTTTAAACCTAACTCTGTAAGATTCAACGAAGAATTAAAATCACCTCAGCAGTATGTTCTGTTTACACAGAGTCGGGCATTCTCCGGGGTCCTGTCATGGCTGAGGTACATACGAGCAAAGGCCCTGGACAGACCCATCTCAGAGTACTGTCAGTCCCACTGCCAATGAGGTAGAGAAGGTAAGCAGAAGCACCCAGCACTCTCTCTGCATGGCTAGTTTAGAATCCTACTTGCCCACATTTACAAAGTTGACTGTGGTGGTAAATAAGTCAGGATGAAGCCAAGTTCCGTGCAATGTGTGCAAGAGAACTGATCTTATCAAACATTTTTTTCTGCAAGACAAAGGCACTAACAAGAGGTTCAGTTTATTATGAACCGAGGAAATAACTCAAAAGTCGTTATCTGTCATTAAATACAACCCCAAACTATTTAATTTAAACATTTAAAGTAATTAAAAGCTAAAGATTTGCAGGACTGGCATTAAGACTGTCTGGTGTGCTTCCACAGGTCGCTTGTTCAGACAACCCTTTATTTACAGTCACTAAGGCTCTCCATTCCCAATGCCCCTTATTGATACCTTTGCTTTCTAGCCAAGTGGTAGCAAAACAGGGCATTGAATCTTCATCTTTATTAGGAGCTACTAATCTCCACGATACAATCAATCCAAAAATTAAAGAAAAGCTATTTGAAACTGCTGTACAGATATGTTACACAGAAAAGAAGACCAGTCACATTACTGATACAGAAGGCCTTCCCCCTAGGGAGAGTGGCACTGGCTAAAAGGACCAAGGAGAAGTTAAGAATAAGGATGTCAATCTTCATCCATCTAACCAGGGAAAGCAGAGAACAATGACACTCATGTGGGCACCAACCAAGTTTTCTTTGACTAAATTTTTTAAGGTTCCACATCATCTTAAAAGTATTCAAATAAAAACAGATTACCCTCTTATTCGCAGTCGAATGCTTGTATTAAGGCAGCCAGAACCCTTGAAGAGGCATTTTCTGCCTCACCTATAAACTGTCATTCAGGTGCCAGTGGTACACTCAAGAAGAAAAGACAAACGACTTTCAACAGAATATGCTATGGGGAAAAGAAGGAAACCGTAGCACTGATTCCTCATGAAAGAGAAACTCAGCACTCGAACTCAAGTGGTAAAGGCCACGGAGGGCTCCCTGAGAATCCAGCAGAACTAAGAGAGGCCATCAACTTTCCAGAAAACCTTTACAACTGGATCCCGGTGCAAGAGCATCCTGCAGCCAGGAGCAGCATACATGCGATGAAACTGCCCAGCTTCCAGCAACTATTGCTGTAATTCCCATGTCTTCTCTTCCATTTCTGTCTGGGGGAGTGAGAAATACTCACCTCGCCCCTAATTCTCACCCACAGAAATGCCCCTCTACAAAGGGCTTTCTGAGTTTGGGCCCTAGGCCTAGGGATGAAAAGCCTCCTCTTCCCCTCTTCCCCATGGTCCAGCAAACCTTGACTCTCCCACAGCGTTTTCCCTTGCCTTTTTTCCCCCCCTGTGGAGTTGCTTCATAATAGCCAAGGACAAAATCTGCAATCACACTAACGGGATGGAAAAAGTGTATTTGAAGGAACAACCCACACCTGCAGGAGTCGTTCCTCTGGTGTTCTTGTAGGATCCCCAGTAGTTAGCCTCCTGAAGTCATGAAGAGCTGGAAAGCAGCAGAATTTGGTACAGCAGGAAGAGAGTTCAAGAGGAAGAGAGCATTCGTTAATACAGGAAACAGAATTCTATGGGAATCTTCATTACCAGAAGAGTGCTGCTCAGTCCCAACTCCCAAATCCTGGAGTGGTACAGCCAAAAAAGGTCTATGTTTTCTTTTTTAGCTCTTCAAATCTCCGGGAGAGGTCGTCAAAGTCAATATCCTCAGATGCTGAGGTGTTGGCACCAGCAGATGTGGTCGGTAGTGTATCGGGGACAGATGGCAATTCAGGCAAAACAAAGTTGTCAAAGGTATCTGTAGTTTTCAAGGTGGGTCTTGCAGGAGCTTCTGGCTTGGGGCCAGGACCTAAGTAATTACAACAAGCAAAGAGTTATAAATGTCTGATAAGCTTTCCATTTACAGAATTAAAGGATGTTCAAAATGGAAGTGATCAACTAATTCAATCCTCTCATTTCAAAAAACTGAGGAAACCAGGGCCCAGAGAAGTGACTTACTTAGGTCACACAGCTAGTCAGCAGCAGAAGTCTGGACCCAGTTTCTTGAGTCCCAACTGAGTGTTTTTTGTACTATACTATTTTGCCTCAAAAGCCCAGGGTTTAAGTCTTCCAGATTGATTAAAGATTTCATTTCTGTGTTCCCTGAAAACACACAGTCAACTTTCCTCCAAAATGCTTAGTTTTATTAAAACATAAGTAAAAAAACACCAAAAAACTCAAGGGGAAACATATCTGAATACTTCACATATCAATAATTTATTAGTGTGTCCAGTCCCTTCTCCCATCATCAAAAATGGCCACAACTCAACAGCTTGGTAACTGGTCTTCAGAAACTGTCATGACCCCAAAATCCATCACCTGGTGGCCAATCTAGTGATAAGCTTCTCTAAATTTAGCTACGATGGTTCTCGGAAAACAGGCAGACTCAGTCCAGATATATCAGTCCAGTGCAGCACCAGGCCCATTAGGGAATATACTTAAAAAAAACAACAACACAGAAAAATGTAATCCTGTGAGGAATTAAATGTGCCAGAGTAGTAATAACCTTTTTTTGTAATTATTTCTTGTAATTATGGTCTAATCCTGAGAATAGGGATGGGGGGGGTAGGGTTGTTCCTTTTATAAAGGAGGAAAGGAATGAGTTTTAAAGGAAGGTCAAAGTCTGACATGACAGTCAGACAATGGGATCTATATTCATATTACTCTTCTGCATAGGTCAAATTATAATGTGGCAAATTCCAAAGGGCTCCACTGGAATTTTGTTGTGACAAATGCTGCTCTAAGCACTATATTGACTAGGACTTAGAAATCTTTTTTGTTTCATGGAGATATTTAAATTTAACTAGACTGATTTTCAGACAAGAGACATACATACACCAGTAAGCCTGTATGGGGGAAATTTCTTTAATTTAAAATTTTAATTACAGGAATTACTAAAATCCTTGAGGGGAAAGATATTTTCTAATTGTGTTCTTTTTTTATTATTTTATTTTTTCCTCAGTTACATGTAAAGACAATTCTAATTATGTTCCAATCCTAAATTTTGCTTAAAATTTTCCTTTAGCTAATTTTAAATTTGGTATCACTTTTTTTTTTGGTTTTAGTTGTTCAGAATGTTGTTAAAGCACTTGTAACTCAGGTAGAGCAGATAATTTCTAAAGTTCCCTTATAATTCTGCCATTTGGTGATTCTCATTGCATTTGCTGCTAAATATTTGACCTGTGAGAAACGGAATGGCATACATAATAGAGAAAGAGCTGAGCCTGAACTATAGAAGACCTGGGTTCAAGTCTGCACTGGCACATAATGGCTAGATGTCCCTGGATAGGTCCAGGGACCCAAATCAATCCTAAAACTGCTACTTGCAAAGAAGGTGCTGAGTGATACAGGGAGAGAGAATTTCCTCACTGAGAGTTCCCTGTAAAAGGAAAACATAGCCCCAGTCTCTCCCCAACCCATTCTCAAAAAGGAGTTCATATTTCAACCTTCTAAGAAAAACTCTGACAATTATATCTTCATTTTAACTATACTGCCTCTTACTATGAAAATATAATCCTACTCTGAAATTTTTTAACCAATATATCTACTGGGGATGTGGGTGGTTCTTCTGCCAATTTTCTTCCTGCAAAATAGTTTCTAGCTCAGATATTTCTTATATTTTGAGGTCATTTTTCAAATGCAAGTCTTTGAAAGAAAAAAAAATTTCATCATGAACAAAGATTGAAAAATTCTAAAGTCCTCATAGCTCCACTGTCAATCAATCACCATTTACTGAGTGTGTTCCCAGCCCTATGCTAGGGGTTAACAGTAGCATGATCAAATGTGGCCCTGCTTTCAAGGAGCTTACAATCCTACTGTGAATTAATATATATGAACTAGTGAACACAAGAAAATTAATAACAGTTCATATTTGCGTAGAGCTTAAAGAGAAGGACACATAGTACTCTCCTCACAAAACGCCTGCGAAGTCAATACTGCAAGTATGACCATCCCCATTTTATATATGAGGAAATCGAAGCTCTAACGGGTAAAGGGACATGCCCAGGTTATCACAGCTACTAAGTGTCTAAGGCAGGATTTGAACCTTGGCTTCCTGATTCCAATGATTGTGTTGTATAGATGAAGTTCTCTAAGAATGTAGTGGCAAGAGAGTTCAATAAAAGCCAAAGAAGATGGATTTGTTAACAAGGAAGAGGACTAGGGGAACAAAGAGAGGAAAGGCAGAAATGACGCATGATGTTTGTGGGACCAGGCAGAATGAGGAATAGGAGAAAATAAAGATAAAGTTAGAAAAAAGATGAGGCTAGATTAAGAAAATTCTTGGAAGCAAGGCTGACATTAAGAATGATAATAAGTAGGTGACAGTGAGACACTGGAGTCCAGAGAGATTCAACAGAAAATTGCTGAAGAAACCCAGAGAGGTGGAAATGAAGACCTTGAATGTGGTGAAGAAAACGGGAATAAAAAGCAAAGCTTTGACGGTACCTGATTAGATCTACTAGTAGAAGGATAATCTAACCCTAAAATGCAGTTTAAAATTTTCCTTTGGCTAATTTTAAGGGTTTAATCCAAGATAACACTGAGATATCAAGCTCAGGTGACTAGGAGAATAATTGTATCAGTATGTCAATTAAAAATAACACTCAAAGGTAGCTGAACTCAGATGATTATTGTAGTGGCTAATCCTGATTCCAAAGAAAAGACAAAACCTAATTTCTTCCTTTCAGTAGAGAGTGAAGGACTACAGGTACAGAACTTGCACACAGCTTCAGATGAGGTTGTCTTACTTGCTGGTACCCCTTGATTCTTATTTTCTTACATGAAAAGGTTCGATGCAGGGGGAGTTTATAATGGGAAGTTAAAAAGCATCAATGCACAATGAATAAAAATCTGAGACTAAAGTTACATTGATAAGCATTTATGTGATATACAGGATGAAGAGGAAAATTTCAAAATGTACATTTGTGCTAATCTATAATGTGTCATTCTCAAAAATGCATAGAAGCTGTCTGATTAATTAACATGGCATGCTGTAATATTTTAACACTTAAGATAAAAATAAATATATGTGTTATATGTATTTTTAATAGTGAAACCACCCAGAAAGATAAAGAAAAAGGAATAACTGACTCTGATGGGAGGAGGGATGGGGGGGGCCACGGGGATAGAAGTTCTGTTCTGAACATGTTGAATTTGTGATAAATGCAAAAGACACAGATGGAAAGCCATGAGAATAGATAATTCTGACAGCACAGAAAGAAGAGCAGAAGGCTGACCATTAAGCTGTGACAAACACTTGCAATAATTTCTGATATAAAAACACAAGACTTCAATAAACATTTTAGAAGAAAGAAAAACACTCAAGGTTAGAGGATAGAATTAGTGAGAAGAGCTACTATACTGTACTTACCAACAACCTGTGCAGAGCGAACATTCTTATCAGCATTAATATCATCAATCTGAAACACAGAAAGTGTTATTACTATGGAGGAAAAAATTACTTAAGAGAATGCAGTGGCTTACACCAAGAGTTAAACTGCTCACCACAGACAAAAGATTCTCAAGCCCTCAAAGAAATTGAGCTACCAACCCCCAGAATCCTTTTGTTGTCCTTCCTCCTGTTACACTCAGTCAACTAACAGCAAAGCAAAAAACCAGAAAATGCTCAGCTAAGCATCCTTTCCAGGGCTCCATTACTCCATGCCAGGGTGAAGGTACTCTGTTACTGAAGACAGATGAAGCTCTTCACCCCACTGTCCCCAGACAATCACAGGCAATGGTCTAGCACATGCACCGGCCAAAGCCCAAGAAAATGCTGCTGAAAACAAGGATGGAAGATGCAGCCAGTGATGCACCAATCATAGAGAAAAAATATCAAGAAAAGAACCCATGCAGGCCTAGGAGCAGGTAGCTTTTCTCAAGTAATTCATATGGTATGTCCCTTGCAGGATTCCTCAACACATGAATCTAGTAGTTGTTTTTTTTCTACCGTAACACAATTTGGTAGAAACATGCTTCAAATTGCTGTCAAAGGCCATGGGGCTAACAGAAAGCCCGGGAGACAGACTGTGCCAACAGTGCTACAACTGCCTCATGTTCTAAGAGATGTCCCTTTATATGGTTTTTGAGAAGATAAATAAGTGGCACTTAGTGTTTCAACGCTGAAATTATATCATCAAGTATACATGCTTCATGAACTTTTTTGTCTACTTGATCCAAAGAAATGGTTGATTATAACTACATCTTGTTTATTAGTCTTTCTTAGGAGTTTACAGTGCTGTTATCCTACTGTTCCTAGATTAACCAAAGAAACAAAGCACCACCAGCACCACTTCCCTTGAGGTATGAAGCATGATGAAAGTGCCAAAGCAAAATCCATGCTAGTACTAGGGGCTGTATGAAACTGTGCCTTCCCTGTGACAATTACTCTGCCCTCTTCATGGGATTCTCTCTGCAGCTGCTGCTTATAAAAGGAGGCTCAGGCACTTACAGATTCATATGTTGGGGGAGTTGCTGGTATCTGAGGTGGATGGATATTGGAAAAGGGCTGATAAGTCCCAACTGGCAATCCATTGAAGTCCGACTGTAAGAGGAGAAAAGCAACATCATAGGTACAGTACTGTCCTCAGTGTCTAACTAGGAAAGATTTCATGTTTGGGTCAAAAAAATAACAAATCAAGAGCCCTATTAGAAAAAAATACCTAACACAGCCCTAAAGACACAAGCTTAAGGACTCTAATTCAAATTACTGAATCAAAAAATTCAAGTAAATTGCTGCATCTTCCTTCAGAGAATATTCATCAGGTTGTCCTGGTAAGGCTACCCTTTGCCAATGGTAAAAGCCATTCTCCTCTACAGCAGCCCTTCTCTGCAGAAATGTTCTCAAGGACTTGTTGCCCACCACATGGGAAATAGCTCCAAAGCTGCTCCACAACGACACCCAATGATGATTAAGAGACATACAAGAAAGATTTTTTTTCAGTATCCCCTGTGTTTTGCTGCTTTGTGATGTACAACTGAGCCAAGACACAGCCCCTTAATCAAAATGGTAAACCTTATTTTCCTAAGTTTATACTAGACTGAATACTAGACATTTTTGCTTTTTCAGTCTTCAGTTGCTGACTGTCAAAAGTTGACAACATCCCATTCTATTCTCAAGACTTTATACCAAAAGGTCACACGTGTGTGTGTGTGTGTGTGTGTGTGTGTGTGTGTGTAGAAACTTACAGGTCCCTTTGGAGGTGGATATGAGAAAGGAGAACCTGGCGATGGCATGGGCATGGGCATAGGCATGGGCACAGGCATGGGCACCGTTCCATCAGGACCAACAGGTGCTGTGAATCCACCACCACCTCCTCCTCTTCCATGCCCACCTTTTTTCACATCGTCTGTGAATCCAACATCAATAAGATCTGTGTCAACTCCAGGAGGAGCTTCTGCCTGAGGAAAGAGTGGAACCAATATAATTATACCATAGTCCCAGAGGCTTGGGGGTTATCTTACAATCCACGAGGGAATTACGAATTTCTCAACGTATATCCACATTTAAAAGTCAGAAAAGAACGGCTATGTTAATGATACTAATACTATCTAAGATTTGTATTACTTTGTAATTTTCAAGTGGTTTTTCTGTCCATTTACTTCATTTGAGCTGTACAATTCTGTGACAGGCAAGGACAGTAACTGTCATACACAGAAGCAGCTTGTTGGCTTAGTGGATAGAGTTCTGGACTTGGAGTCAGGAAGGCCCAAGGTGACATCTAGCCTCAGACAATGACTAGCTGGGTGACCTTAAGCAAGTCACTTAGTCTCTGCCTCAGTTTCCTCATCTCTAAAATGGGGATAATAACAGCAACGTCCTTCCAGGATTGTTGCGAGGACTGAATGACATAACATTTGTAAAGTGCTTTGCCAACCTTAATATGCTACATAAACACTTCTGCTACTATTTCTACAGACCACTAGCAAAGCAAAGGCAGAGGTTTAATCCCTACGTGCATTATCAGTTTCTCTAAACAGAAGTCATCACATGGAATACAGTCATTTGGAGAAGATGGTCCTACTGAGAGACCCGCACTCTCCTCAATGCCTCTAATGGACCTACTGTACTCACCATGACAACGGAGTCAGGTTCGTAAGGAACATTGTAATTTTTGGCTATTTCAATCAAGTATCTCTCGACCAGAATTTTGGGTGGAGCCTCCACACTCAATTTGTGCATTAGCTGGGGGGAAAAAAGCAAACAGATTGCTTAGCAAACACATACACCCATTAGCATTCCAAGACATCTATACTATGCTAGTACAAAATGAGTTTTGTGTTCATTATAAAGGTGGTAACAACCACCAAGCAATCAATGAGTTAACTGTTTTTCATCTTTTCAGTTTATAACTGAAAACTAGGCAAAGGGAAGAAAAATTATTTTCCCAAAGCCATAAATTAACTTAGTAGCAAGGCACATTTTTGTCTTTGTATTTTCAATGACTAGAACAGTACTGGAGCACAGTAGGCACTGAACAGATGTTGGTTGCTTGATCAATATGGGGAAAAGTAAAGTATATAAGTTGCTGACACATTTAGATCAGTTTCCTCCTCCCCTACTCCCTCTCCAATCCCAGTTAAGTTAGTGGAAGTGAGCTCTTTGAGGACCAGGATGATGTCATTTTGCTCTTTGTAGGTCCACTGTATACTACAGTGGTTTGTACATAGTAGGTGCTTCACGTGGTTGCTGAAAAAATGTTGAATACAGTGATAAGAAATAAAACAGGCCAACATTATAGGACTAGGATCAGATAACAAGCCACCAAAGTTACAGCCTGGATATCAGTGCCCAACAAAAGCTAGAGGACAAAATGATTGCACAGTCAACCTATAATCCCAGACTGCCCCCCTTTTCTCCTTCCCTCCTTTCCTACAATGAAATATTAATCTAGGCTTACAAAGGGACCCTACTAAAATCCTAGCAGGCTAAAAGTATCCCCTGCCCACCTTGCTTGTCTTACTTTTATTTTTTACAAGTATACTCATTACCCTGTCATTCACAGTTCCAATCTGGTTGGTCCTACATAGCTTGCCATATTCCTTGCTATACTTGGCACAAAGCTGATCCGCAACCTAGAAAGAATAAGAGAACACTGAAAAGATACAAAAACCACTCAATGAACAACTGGAGAAAAGAACAACTCATATTCTTCTCCACTCCACACTAAACATTCTACCAATCTGTGAAATAAAGTCTTAGAACAAAAATTTTTTTTCAGAAACAGTATGACAAAAAAGCACAACTTCCCTCCCACCCCCCCCACCAAAATAATAATCTACAACCACACACATGAACTAAACACAGGCAGCAAACACATAGATGGATGTCTTAATAGTTCTCTGAAGCACGACAAAAATTACCAAAATCAACTGTACTCACTATTTTCAACTCAGCTACTTCAGACTGGAGTCGAGGAGCAGCCCAGATCAATGTGGACACAGATTCGGCCAGACCAGAATCAAGTTCTCTAAGAAAATATAAAAATGAAAAAAACCTCAATATTCTAAACTTTGAAAATCCACTCTCTTCTGTTTCTTGAGGACGCCCTAGTTTGCTTCCTTTAGCTGAGATCAGTCTATCAGACTCTGGATAAAGACAATAACATCATTCCAGCTTCCCCACATAACCACGTAAGATAAAAGCTGTGTCCATTCCTGCCAAAATGCCAGGGGAGCTCAGCATGTCTTACTTCATGGACTGGATCAGGCCAAATCGGGCTAAGAGCAGGTCACAGTAGAGTTCTAGTATCTCCATGGCTTCCACAAGGTAGTCTTCTCGAATGATATGCTCCACACGGATCCGAGCCCGTTCATCTTTCCCAGCTGCTAGATAATCTGCAATCTCCTTCCTCGCTTTCTGGGCTAGTTCCGCTGTGACATAAACCATACATATTCTTTACACATTGATAATAAGCTTTTCCATGGTCAGGAAAGAGGTACTGCATCTAGCTTCTGTGCTATAAAAATTCCGAACATGAGACTTACAGAAAAGTCATTTTTCTAGGTTAACTCAACACTCCAAAAATGCTCACTTGAGGCTTTTGAGCCCAGTTTATGGTTTATTCTTTTTCCTTAAAAAAGATTACTTTTGATAACAACAACAACAGCAAGCATTTATTTTTATACCTACGTGCACACACACTCCCCTTTTAAGGTTTTTGAGCACTTTACAAATATGATCTCACTTCATTCTCACAACAGCCCTGGGAGGTAGGTGCTATTATTATTCTCCATTTTGCAGATGAGGAATGTGAGATGGACAAAAGTTTAGTGACTTGCCTAGGGTCACGTTGCTAAGTAAGTGTCTGAGGCTGGATTTAAACTGAGGTCTTTCTAACTCTCGGTTTACCCCTCTATCCAGATGCCTCTAGGAAGCTAGGGATCGGTTCAATGTATTTCTAAAATTTGCCAATTTGGGGAAGAGCTTAGGAGTCATGAAATCTATTTTTGTCTTTGTATGTCCAGAAGCTAGCATAGTACCCAGCACGTGGTAGACAGGCACTTAATAAATGCTTGTTTGGCTGATTTCTTTAAGAATATAGTATGTTTTAAGTTGTCCCTGCTGTTCATTCATACAACCTAAAATTCAAAGAGATTCAGTCATATACCTAACATTTCTTAGTCAACGTGCAAGCAAAATGCTGGGGGAACCTATCTGAAGATCACAGCCAAGATCCAGTGAAAAACTTGTGAAAAGAGAAAAACAAAGTAAATAGCAGCCAAAGTACTCACTTTTCTTTTTTTCCAACAGCTTAAGGCGATTTATGACCAGACGCAAGTTGACTCTTAAGCGCTCAGCCTTGAACCCAGAGCCCAGCATGATTTATACTTCCTATAGGGAAAATACAGGAGCCATGAGTTATTTTTAGAGCAGCCTGCCTGGTCAGAAAGTCAAATCCTAGTTAAATAATCACAAATCCAGTCACAGAATTAAAAAACTTTACATTTTACAGATGAAATTAAACCTCACGACCATCCATCTAGGTAACAGCAGAGCTAGGAAGAGAAGCCAAGCCTACTAGAGCTTTGAGTCTACTGCTTTCCCCCCCGGGTATACTGCCTCTAATACTATTATAGTAGATGGAGTTTAACACAATAATGGACAAACTGAGTAAAAATTAGTACTTTTTTTCAATACATAATTGCTCCAATTTAATTTTTATGCCAAGAAGTTACATGTCAAAAGGCTATCATTACATCATTAAGGTAAAAATCTGGGCTGAGGTTTTCTTTACAATGCCTACTATAACAGAACAAGTCACTGGCTGTGCTTAGATCTTCTGTTTCCTGTCATTATATTTGATGATACGTGATGCTTAGTACAAATATCATATCCCTAAAGTGAGAGTCAGAAGGAACTCAAAGGGCAGCTAGGTGGCACAGTGGACAGAGTTCCTGCCTTGCAGCCAGGAGGACCTGAGTTCAAATCCAACCTCAGACACTTGACACGTACTAGCTGTGTGACCCTGGGTAAGTCACTTAACCCCAACTGCCTCACCAAACAAATGAAAAAAAAGTAGAAGGAACCCAAAAGGAAAAAAACCACATGTGTGTCATTAAAAATAACAAGGAAGTTGTTGGTCACACTCAGGTTTTACGTAAGTCTACCGAGTTGAATGCGGGAAGGAGGAGACAAGGAGAAAGGTGTGGGCAGATGCCACCTATGTTCAGACCAACAAGGTAAATATGGGACATTTTTAAAAGACTTTCTGAAAGTTTTGTTGTGGGTAGCCATAAACATGCTGATTTATTCCATTAACAGGTAACCAAACCCCATTCCCCTCCCTCCTACAAAAAAGGAAAGCTCATGCAAATCCCATTTTGTCTAACTCAACAGAATGTTAGAAAAGATGGGCAAAATGAGAATTAACCATACAAATTAACAAAAGCTACCAGAGTTCAGAGAAAGAACATAATCCTCAAGATACTGAAAAAGCACTAGCTCTGGAGCTGCTGGGCCCTATCTCTAATGCTTACTACCTGTGTGATCTTGGGCAAGTACTTTATTCTCTCTGGGACTCAGTTTCCCTATTTATAAAACGAGAGGGTTGGACTGGATGGCCTCTCCAAGGTCCCTCTTTCAATCTGAGATCTATGATTCTATAACCTCCTACCAATTATATTACAAAAGCATCTCTACTGATTTCTTCAAACAGAACTCCAAAGGGCAGCTAGGTGGTACAGTGGATAGAGCACCGGCCCTGAAGTCAGGAGGACTCGAGTTGAAATCTGGCCTCAGACCAAACATTTGACACTCATTAGCTGTGTGACCCTGGGCAAATCACTTAACCCCAATTGCCAAAAACAAAACAAAACAAAACAAAACCAGAACTCCAACAGTGCCAAAATGAGAGGAAATGAAAGAAAAGTAAATGGCTAAACAGCCATTCACTAAAACATAATAAAACTATTTGATCACCAATGTGAACTTAAGAAGCATGATGGAGTGCTAGAAAGGTGGCATATTTTTGCTATAATAATGCCATTCAAAGACCTATGCTGCATCTGGCATATTCTTTAGGAAAAAAAAAAAGGCAAAACTGCCAATGAAAAGAAACTACAAAGATCCCCTAAGTCTCCCAAAATTCAAAAAGGTTTAGAGGTAAAAAAAAAAACAAACCAAAACACACAGCACTAAGAAACAAATGAGTCAGATGTTGTCATCTGGATTTCTCATCTCCTATTAATCAAGATTCAGCCCTTAGGAAGAAAGTGGTGCCAAAGACTGCACCTATTAACCACCAACATCCACTTGTGTACAAAAGGCGTGAGGAAGGAGGAGAGGGGTGAGGGGAGAAGAAGGGAAAGAGACAGAGAAAGATACAGGGAGAGCAAGACAGACAGAGGGAGAGAGGAGACAGAGAGAAGAAGAGGGCCACAAAGGGATATATTGTGCCTTCCAAGAGAATGTCAGATCCAAAAACAGAAGACTCTTTAACAAAACTTATAGGAACCAGTAAAGCTGTAGTAAGCAGAACATTAAAAAAATAGAGCTTAGGTTCTACCATTATGTGTCAATCACTAATTCATAAACCCTCACAAATAATACTCTCTTTTTAGACAGGATAGTTTTTATTTCTCTCAATTTATCTTCCCGTTTATCTTCAAAACTCAGTCTCTAAAAACAAAAGCTAGCTCCTTTCAGAATGACCAAAAAATAGACACAAACAGCAGGAAAAAAGTGAACCATAAACATTCTTTTTTGCTTTGTTTGGGTAGGAAAAAAAAAACCAATGAAAAGCATTCTGTCGAATATATTTTTATCTTCTTCTCAGGCATCCTAAAGCCCACCACCCATCAATCATATCTCAGTAAGCATCCAAATTTCAGCAGTTAAACTAGAAACTAGCAAGGTGGTCATAGGAGTACACTCCACCAGAGACAGTATTAACTAAAATAGTGCCAAGAGAGGTTGCCAGGTCAGAATTTTAATGCTGTTGCCCAAGGTTGCTACAAAATCTCCTACACAAAAATCAGCTACGGCATAATTTTTAGGCTAAGTTATAAAATTCAACACAAAACAGAATTTAATTGAATGTCCAGCATAAAGAAATGGTTAACATTCAAAAGATGATTGCAAATATAAATTTACCAGACCAATACAACTCCTTGATTCTTCTAAAACAACTTTTGCTATGATTTCCCAAGTAATTAATGCAGAAGTTGTACAAATTACAAACGTTTCAGACGATGACATCCCTTTTCCCAAATTTTTTTTCTTAAACATAGGTAAGGATAATCTGAAAACACTTCTGCTATAGTTCCAGATGACACAGCAAAATAAAGAAATGCTTGAGATCCTCTAGTTCAGGAGCTCCACGAATATAATAGAAAACTAAAGGAGTCTTATTCTATCTTCTTTCAATCACGGCAATGAAGATATGTCTGGAAATGGAAAGCAGCACTGACTTATGAATGTTTAGGAAAGCTCAGACAGACCAGGGCGAGGTGACATTATTAAGGGCCTGTTATGTGCCCTCAGGTACTACGTTTAATAGCTGGGAAATCAAGACAAAAGGGAAACAGTCCCTGACCTCAAAAGAGCTCCAAATAACGCAGTGCACAGAGCACTGGCCCTGGATTCTGGAGAAGCTGAGTTTAAATTCAGCCTCAGACACATTAACACTTATTAGCTGTGTGACCCTGGGCAAGTCACTTAACCCCACTGCCTAGACAACAAACAAACAAACAAAAACACCAACAAACCTAAGAGCTCCAATTCTACTGGAAAGACACAACATGCTTCCAGACAAGTCAACACAGGGTAACACAACTCAATGTAAACACAATTATGACAGGGAGAAAAGATGATGCCTAACAACGAGTAGAGTTAAAAAAGGCTTCTTGAAGGTGGCCTTTGAGCACCTGAACATCAAGCTCCAGGAGACAGAGGTGAAGAAGGATAGCATTTCAGGCCTAGGAGACAGTCAAGACAAAGTCACGGGAAGACGAAATGTCGTGTGAGACTGCAGGGTAGACGTGTGATGACTGACGCTGACAGACTCAGCCATTCTCAGCAATGCAAGGATCCAAGACGCCTCCAAAGGTCTCATGACAGAAAGTGCTGTCCACATCCAGACAAAGAACTAGGGAGCTGCAATGCAGATCAAAGCCTGCTATTTGCTCTTTTTTTCTTCTGTTTTGTTTTATTTCTTCTTTCTTGTGGTTCCTCCTATTGGTTCTGATTCTTCCTTACAACATGACTAATATGAAAATGTTTAATAGGAATGTATATGTAGAGCCTGTATCAGATTGCACACTGTCTCGGAGAGGGAGGTAGGGAGGGAAGAAAAATTTAAAACTCAAAAGCTTATGGAAATGATTGTTGATGAATCAAAAGAAATTAATTTGAAAAAAAAAGAAAAAAGAAAAAGACAGTACTTGAATCAAGTCTTGAAGACAGATTCCAAGAGGCAGATGTAACAACAAAAAGCTTTCTCTACGGGTAAATGGGAGATGAACTACTCTATGTAAGGAAAAGAAAATGCAGCTATACTTGGAGACACTGCGGTTCATTTCTAGACCACCACAATAAAGTGAGTATCAAGCATAGAGTGCACGAAAGGGAATGATGTTTAATAAGCTTGGGAAAGTATACTGGAAGCAAACTATAAAGGGTTTTAAATACAAGAGTTTGCATTTGATACCAGTCTAATCTCTCTTACACCTAACGTGTAAACTCTTCAAATATAGGATCATACCAGCACTAAGTCATCTTTTATTCGAGTTCAATGTTCTCATTTCCTTCAACTGTCTTCCTATGATGTGGTTTGAAGTCCTTCACCATCCCAGGTACTCTCTTATTCTGAACTTTTAATAGACACCCAATAAAAGGAGCATTTAGAACAAAGTAGAATAGAAAAAAGACTGTACATTAAGATGGGACTCTGCATTACAACTTACTTATTTTTTTACATATATAATAAATTCTATTATTTTCAAAGCTGTTCTGTTTGTCTGTTTCCCACTGACCTTCCTTCTATTCTATACATTTAAAGCTTCAACGACTCTCTTTTCTTATCCTCCTCCCCAATTACCATAAGTCTATCTAAACTCTCTTCTACCCATTCCCAATCCTTCCCCACCTCCAAAATGGGGGGGGGAAGCCTTACATCAAATGTGCATAGTCAAGAAAAAAAAATCCACATATTGGCCATGCCTAAAAATGTAGGTCTCATTCTTCACCTTGAGTTCTTCATTACTCTGTTGTTAGGAGGCAAGTGGTGTGCCTCACCTCCAGTTCTCTGGACCTGTGACTGACCACTGCATTCATCAGAGTTCTTAAGTCTTTCAATTTTCTTTTTCTTTACAGAACTATTGCTGCTGTATGAA